CTTTATAGATGTGGTTATAAAGGCTGACTCACGAATACATTGCATGCACACTGTACACTGTTATAGAGAAAATCTGCTCAAAAACGAATTGTTTTAATGCAACAAGGGAAGCAACTTATCCCAATTTAATCCATGTATCCCTTATTTCAACATTATTGACATAAAATCTAACATTTTGATGATTTTCTTATTCCAGGAAATCAGTGGCCCTTCTGAGAAAAATATTGTGAAAGAGTAGTTATGGTTTATAGGGGCCTGGGATGCTTATTATCACCGGACATAGTGTTTTAATGGAGCTACAGTGATTTGTTTGAACCCCTCATGGGTTTGACAGTGAACAGCTCTGCACGGTTAACAGGTTTGAAGACTCTTTGGAAAGTTATTACGTGTGGAAAGAAGAATTATTCACACAGAAAGGTTCCTTCAGATTGATGACCTTCCAGCATACTTATTCAACCTCAGACCCCGGCTGCTAATGGGGGTGTTTGGTTTTCAGGTGTGTTGACCTCAAAGGTCACAGTCTCCTGACTGGTTCATTCATTGTGGTACTGGGCCAATTTGACTTTCCCGCCGAGCAATGCTTTACCCTTAATTACCTTTCTGAATGTGGGAAAAAGCTTTAGTGTCAATAAGGACAGCATGTGGATTTCCTGGATGGGAACTGACAGGCATGCATGAAAGACATTATTGTTTAGGTGATCAAACGTGCTGCGTGACGAACATGACGGATTTAGTGAAACATTTTCTTTTCACAGAAGTCATTCTGCTTTCCATTTTGGGCTCTTTTACTTTCTTAGATAGATATCTACATCTCTCTCTCTTTATGTCTCTTAAACTCCCTCTCTTCCTGTTTCCTCCATTGCGATCGTGTACTGTAGATGTCAGATTATCTGTGTCCTCTCTTTCCATCACTCTTGTCTGTGTTCTTCACTTCTTCCCTCTCCACTCCAGCCTTAATGAGTAAAGGTCATGTGTCTGCTCTCTCCTGCTTTGCTGTCAGTGTTCATGTCTGTTACTTTGATACTTATTAGCTCTGGCCTTTAGCTGCTGCCCTAATGAGCAAAAAGCACAACACTTACGCACTCGTGAAAACCTCAGACTCAACTGATTCAACTACAGCCAATTTAAAGGTGGGGTAGGTAAGTTTGAGAAACCGGCTCGAGATACACTTTTTGTTATATTCCATGGAATGCTCTTAACATCCCGATAGCAATGAATATCTTAAGTGCTTTGACAAAAAATCCATAAAAAATGTCATCTGTGGAAGCCGTAGTACTGTAAAAAGCACGACCAATCATTTTAGCCGGCCCGGCTAAAATAACTGGATGGCCTACCTGCCTGTCAGCCTTCCATCTGTGCACAAACTTATCTCGTGCCCTCATTGGTCATGTGCGCGTTTGTGTGTGTTGGAGGAGGGGCTCTATAAGGAAGTGGCAGATTTTCTCCGGCTGTGTATTTTCAAATTCTAGCGATCTTGAGCCGGTTTCTCCAAAATTACCTACCCCACCTTTAAACCACATCTATTTTATATCTCCACACCTGAGTTTATGAAGAAATGAAGAAAAGCATGTTGAAGTGGGGATGTTTCTTTGTGTTGGTGACAATGCTTTGTATTTGTTGATCACACCACAAGATTTTGCTGCAATACAACAAAATAAATGATTTAAGTTGAAATGTCACAATTACATGAACAATGCCAGTGACATACTGTAGTCACTAGTCATAGTGTAGTGACATACTGTAGTCACTAGTCATAGTGTAGTGACATACTGTAGTCACTAGTCATAGTGTAGTGACATACTGTAGTCACTAGTCATAGTGTAGTGACATACTGTAGTCACTAGTCATAGTGTAGTGACATACTGTAGTCACTAGTCATAGTGTAGTGACATACTGTAGTCACTAGTCATAGTGTAGTGACATACTGTAGTCACTAGTCATAGTGTAGTGACATACTGTAGTCACTAGTCATAGTGTAGTGACATACTGTAGTCACTAGTCATAGTGTAGTGACATACTGTAGTCACTAGTCATAGTGTAGTGACATACTGTAGTCACTAGTCATAGTGTAGTGACATACTGTAGTCACATCATGATGCAGTTGGGGAACATCTTCTTCACTAAAGACAACATGAAGATAAGTTCTAGAAACTGCTTTACTCAATTAATCCCTAAATTGTATTTGTTCTCAAACATTTGATTCCAACTGGACGTGGAATATGTAGACTTAAAATGCATACATTATAGATGTGTAATTACATAATTAATATAAACACTACGGTACAAAAAGACTAAAACTCCATAGCTCTGATTGAGACTGTAATACTGATTACACACCAGAGTATTTATTTTATATAGATGATACTTTACACTATAAACGGCTAATCAACAAAGTTCGGGTATATTTTGTATTCTTGCCCACTGGAGTTTTTTATAGAGACACAAACCTGGACTGAGCCATTGTTAAATTAACACATTTCAATATGACCCACATTACAGACTGTCTCCTTGCTCCGCTTCAATAGCACATTATGTTTAACTAATGAGTTATTAGTTATTACTAATCTTTTTAATAGATGTAATGAGATGTCCAGGCTTTGTGTCTGAAGTGTTGTGGTATTGATTTGTGTTGGCCTCAAGTCAGTATGACATCATCTTGGCACAATCTCCAATGCTCTTTAGGCTGGCTGTTTTATTAAGTGTGTGTGTGTGCGCGCTCTGTAGGGGTCTCCATCTGCTGTGCCATGGATATGCTTTGTGCTGCCTCAGCACTTATTGCTTTTAAACACACTCACACATTCACACATTTTTCAGCATCCAAAGTGTCTTTATCAAGTAGCAGCCTTTTCAATCACCTCCAATGATTTTCCCACAATCAGGTTCTGCCAAAGTCCTCCCTTCTCTCACACACACGCACGCACGCACACACACACACACACACACACACACACACACACACACACACACACACACACACACACACACACACACACACACACACACACACACACACACACACACACACACACACACACACACACACACACACACACACACACACACACACACACACACACACACACACACACACACAAGGGATGCCAGAAGCATCCAAAGTTGTAAAAAGATGCAGCAGAATGAATGTTGCCAAAGTCTCTGCAAAGGCATCTAATCAGTAAATGGCAATTTGACGTGTTGACTGGTGAGGGGGACACAAGCAGTGGTATCCTGGGAAAGAGTTTGGTGTTGGTTTGACCAAACCAACCTCCCCTAACTCCCCTTCATACTTTGTTGTTCTTTATTTATGTCAGATGACACCTCATTTGCTACAGTCATGATTACTGACTAGAACAAGAGGGTGCCTAACACCTTTGAACCTCCCTGTGGTGATCCAGCTACCAATGGGGGATAATGGCCTCCTAAACTTATTAAGAGGTAGAGTAGGGCCATAGCGCCTTAAATCTATCATGACAACTAATAAGAGCCATTTTAAAGGCTGAAAACTTTTAAAGCGAGTAAAGGGTTAGCTACTGTTTTTAAGGTACATTTATCACTCTCTGCCTTTCTTCCTCTGCTGTCTCTCTTTCTCTTGCAAGGACACAGACTGCACATCTGTCTTTTCTTCTGAATTTCTTGAAATCAAGTTTCAGTATTCAGAACAAAGCCATTTTGTTACTTGCTTGTCTTGTTTTAGTTGCTAAGCCATCTGTTTGTAATGCCGTGCAATTATATTGCAACCATTAAAATTAGTGAAATAATATAAAAACGTCCAGGAATATATCAGGGTTTAATTTGAATGTCTTAATGTATAATGAATAATAATAATGCAATGAATATAACTCTTTCTAGCACAAACACAACTAACCATTTTAAAGTGAAAATTACTATTTTTTAAATTAGTTTTATAATTATATTATGTTATGTTTAAAAATGAACCGACACACAGTACACATTCAACACATGTTAAATACAGTTATTACAGTGGTTTTAAAATCGAATTATTGTCACAATTATTATATTTTTGACATTATTTATCCATAAAAGTTTGCAATTGGTGACAGACATGCTCCATGGTTTTACAGATCTGAAGTGACTGATGTGTTTTGTACTACAATATGAACACACTGTAGTTAATCTCATTCACCCCTGGATGTCCTCTCCAGCTGCTGCAACAGCTGTCTCCAGGACAGAAAGTGCGCATGTTGCCATGCAAAACATAGGGGGGATGTCAGTGCTGCAAGTGATTGTTGACAAGACAGAACCGCCTCAGCTCAGTACTTTAGGTCATATCAATGTTGATGTGATTTCTCACTATATTCCACTCAGCACCATAGCTCTGTCAACATGGTAGACCCATAAAAACCAGAGGAGGTACATTCAATGGCAAAAAACATCTTAACACTTCAGTTGTGCGGAGTCATCAGTTTTCTTTAAATACCGTGCTGTGGCTGCACAGTCTAATCCAGTTTTCTCAAAGTGTTTGTGGCTCAAATATATCCCCCCTAATGTCTTTGATTATAAGGATTTAATATTTACCATCATGAAGCCAGGGGACGTGTTAAATATATTGCAGGGTTTTAAATGTTCTGAGTGGATAAGTGGTCTTAAATTAAAGCCAGAAATGGGATAAACTATATGTATAGTCTAATTCAACATAAAAGCACGGATTCCTCTTAATGTGCAGAGTACTTGCAACTCGAGAAAAAGTGCATTATAAACTTTCAAGTATGTTAACCCTAATCTTTGACATTCCTGTCATCTGCAAACCCCTAACTATTCATCTATGGACATTATGCAAACACATAAAAAGTATTTACTGTATATCCAAACTGTGGATTTATTATTGGCAAACTCATAGCAATGATTGTTTTCTTCCATAAATGCACAGATGTAAACAATAGATTAAAATATAATGAATAACATTTCACTCCCACAATGTGTCTCCATCCCTCCCTCCCTCCCCCTCTCATCATAATTGAACACTCTTGTCTCTTGTGCAGGAGCTGGAGGCTGGACCCCTCTCGTCTCGGACAGATACCAGTGGTTGGAGGTGGATCTGGGGAAGCGGACCCGGATCACTGCTGTTGCTACGCAGGGACGCTACGGCAGCTCTGATTGGCTAACGTCTTACCTGTTGATGTTCAGCGACACAGGACACAACTGGAGACAACATCGACAGGAAGACAGCCTAGGGGTAACTCTACATTTTAAAAGAACGTTAACACTGCTCAGATTACATTTTTAATTGGGGGGAAATGTTGTTAATGTTTGTGTTTTCCACGATTGCTGCCACACTAGAACAAACAATGGCAGTACAGTGAACACAATACAGGTAGATATTACATTTCCACTCAAACTTCAACAACATAATTCCCAGGAAACAGGGGTTCCTATACTGTGCAAGGCTATTGCAAAACAGAAAGTAAAGTAAGTAGATAAACAAAAGACTCCCACCTTATTCTCACATCCCAGAGCTAGTTTGTGACACTAATGAAAATGTGATTGACACAAAGAGTTTAGAGCCAGTGACAGGTTTCTCGAAATGTGTTAAATAAAGCACAGCATGTTGTTCAGCTGAAAGAATATGGTTAGTCAAAGCGTATACTGAAAGGAAATGCTTGTGAAAATAGTGATATTGCTCCAGACAGCAGAAAATGAAGGTGTCACATGCTCCAAACAACCTGCTTGTCAGATAGTTAAACACTATCTGAAAAACCCATCTCAATACACTATTCTGACATCAGAGATGGGAGCAGGGAGGTACAGTAGGAGGTGCTTGAACATCTCTCTCAAGCACTCATCTGTTTAATTGTAACAAAATAATTGCTGATACTTTTCCAGTGAACATTATTCCAAAAATGTGGGCTACATTCGACATATTTCGAACGATTATTGTGATAACCTCTCATTGACAACTGGAAAAGGTTCTTACTAGAAGAAAAAAAACGTAGAAATTCTAGTATGATTTAGGAAATTGTCATTTGTAGTTGCTTGCATTTAAATACAATTTCAGAATGCATACCACATTGTGTCTTTTAACAGCTATCAAGGCAGCTTTGGAGGTGGCGCCTTCATATCATAAGCATCATTTACATGATCTGTGGGGACGGGTACTGCCTGCAGCGGCAAGCCTGCTCACCAGGAGTCTTTCACACTCTATTAATAATGTATGGAACAATAAAGGGAACCTGGGCAGGGCTCTGTTGACTGCATGGGGCTGCTGTCAAACAGTTGAACCTCTGCTGACGGGAGGCTGGTGCTGTTGTTAGAAGACTGCGTGTCATATAAAAAGTCATGACTTTGATTCCTGCAAGGGGCGAAGGTGTCCATCTTTCTCCTCGCAAGACGCTGTTGGCACACTTGCCAGTCTTGATAAGGCTGTCAGAAATGTAAATGTGAACGAGGAAGCTGACATGCATGTGGTGACTAAAATATTCTGATGCTCAAGTTCATGTATCAAGTCCTCGCTGCAGCCTGGGGGGGATGGCTGCTGTTGCTCTCTCCTTTTCTTCAATGTTTGCAAATGTTTCCCAGTGTTTATTTTCCGCTCTCAAAATCTTTATTTTCCAGCATTTTATAGCATATTTTAATCTACTTATTCCCATCCCACGTGCCAGTAGAGAGAGAGGTTACCAGACTGCAGAATGACTGATCACCACCAAGCAAACTACTGTATGTCAGAATGACAGGAAGCCATGCCGGCCTCCGTTGATTGAACAGCATTAGATGTGATTCAGAGGCAGTCAAGCATCCCCTCTCTCTTTTATGGAAGACAGCGCAGGCTTCTTGTTAGAGCAGCCCAGAGAACAGCTTTTGATTCAGATTTGACAGCATGCAAGTTTCTTACAGGGGAGGATACAAACTATCTGAAGCCTGGGAGTCATCACTAACAAAAAGAGAAAGCAGGGTATGAATTCTTGCAGCTTAGAAACCTGTTGGTTTGACACTCGGCATGAAAGGTGATAAACCCAGATCAACTCTCCCGAGTATTTTTTAAGCTCCGTATTTAAGTTAGGCCAGCTTAGTGTGTCGGTTCAGGAGGAGATTTGACTGAACAAATGGTTGTATCAGTTTCTCACTGAATTCTCAGCTTTGATGCTCTGTCTTTTCCCCCTTTACTCTCCAGTGTAACTTTTAAAGAGTAATTGCTGCTACTGTTTACTAATCCACTACAAGGAAATGTCATGATTTAACATCCTAGAAGTTTAAACTACTGGCCTGATTTTTATAAAACTTAGTGGTAGTGTGAAACATGGGCCAAGGAAGAACCCATTACATTTTGGAGTGGATAATAATCACGGGCCAAAGTGTCGTATATAGAACCGTTAACTATGCCAGACAAGGCATTTGCTCTTGGCGGAGGTCTGTGCTCTAAGAATGCCCTTGTAGTTCATTATTTATTTGACAGCAGTCAGTGAATATGACATTTGTATCTGTGCCTTTGTCAAAAATCTTTCAGTGATGTGAAGTCACTAATTACATTTAATCAAGTAGTGTCCTTTAGCTTAATTGTGTATTCTTACTTTAATTAAATGTCATTATGTTCTTGTACCTAGGGACCATTTTCTTATGCTTTTATTTGTATTCAAGAATTGTTACAGTGTGCTATTGCTGCTTTCTCTCAAAGAACAGTTGTACTTTATCTACTCTTCTTCTCTGATTATGTCTCCGGCCCTCCCTCCTTCTCCTCTTCGTCTTACCCTCTACCTTTCCCTCTCTCCTTGACTGAGGTCTTGTCAGAGGCTTCTCATATTTCAAAACTTGGTCAGGCAAGTAAATGAGATGCCGCTCTCCCCATTCTCCTCAGCAGGAAATAGAGCCGTTTGTTGAGCTTACTGTAACGCTTCGCTACCCGGCCGGCTCAGCCCTTCAAAGCTCTGAAGACGGCACCGAGATCACAATTATACAGCAACGAGGGAAGCCAATTTCACTCACACAGCCACTCTCAGCAGACACACTCTCAAGTAGGGAGGACGGGAGCATGCACCCTTGAATGCAGGTTGTTTCCTTCCTTACAGGTGCCATGTGTCGCTCTCTGTGTGCTGTTTGACTGTCAAGTAGAGAATCCCCCTGAATTCCCACAGGAAGCTTGTTGGGAAAGTAGAGGATATTAGTCTTTTAGGAGAGGCTTGGTACAGAGACAGAATACGTCTCAGAGTTATTGATTACTGGACAGAGAGAGGGAGAGACATTATCAGCGGATCAATCTCTGAGAGTTTAAAGTTTGAAAAAGACTGTCTCAGCATCAGGAGGGAAACGTTTTCTGTACTAGTGAATACTATCCCTTTAAAAATATTGTTTCATCACATACATGTTTCTATAATCATTTGATACTTTAAAAACAAGAAGTTTAGAAGATAGTTGCTCTTAGGATGGCTGCACAACGTTTATAGATTTAACAGTAAACATTTGATCATGAGCATTAACGTACAAAAGATCCTCTATTCCTGTCTAATAACTTCAGGAACTGCCTTCAGATCTTTGCTGCAGCAGCATCAGAGACAGTTGGACGAAATAAAAAAAAGAACAAACTTGTTTGTTTTTTCAGGCTTTTCCAGGTAACAGTAATGCAGACACTGTGGTCCAGTACAAACTCAATCAGCCGGTGATAGCTCGCTACCTCCGCCTGATTCCTCTGGACTGGAACCCCACTGGGAGGATTGGACTCAGACTGGAGATATACGGTTGTCGTTATAGTAAGTGTTCTCCATTGACTTTTTTTATGTCTGATTTGGCTTGTGTTTGTCCTTGAAGAACAATAAACGTGCCATGTTTTACTAGATTTTCAAATGTCATTATCTGGCCTATGAACATTAGAGCTATTATTGCAATACGTTTAAATAAACACTATAAACATTCATTAGGACCAACACTGTGAAGAATCTAGAAAATAAACTGGGTACAAGTGGTCCACAATGTGCAGGATTCTTTAATCACACTTGATAAGTCACAATGCTGCAATTTCACTTTTTATTCCCGCATTATAACATCTGTTTTGAATTAGAGCTGTGAGCTTTGAGGAAAACACTAAGGTAACACGTTTATTCTTATATTACAGATTCCTTCCTGCTCTCTCAACAGTAAAACATAATTACTCTTGCTGGTCTTCTTTGCTGCTCTGTCTTCAGTAGCAGATGCGAGACCATATGGTTTTCCCTCAAAGGGATTTGTACATAAATGGGCCAACGGTTTTCACGGTCATTAAAGATATTTGTTCAGGACATCCGTACCTTCAAACAATAAAAGTCCAATCATGAACCAGGAAATAAAGGCTGTTGTTTGTGAGTTCACAGTGACCCTGTTGTCTTGTCCCAATCTCAAAGACATTCAGTTTTTAATTTATATAAAACATAGAAAAACAGGAATATCCTATTTCCGAGCCCAATAACAACATTTTCTGCCATTTATGTTATGAAGTCTTTGCTCACCGCTGTCTGGCACTCTGTTTTGAAACTCGTCTCTGCCTCAACCTAAAACTTACCGTTGCATAGCATGTTATATGAATTACTCAAATGTGGTGTGTCTGTCATAATGGTGACAATTATTTTTCTGGAGACACTTACGGTGATAGGAACACAGAAGTGGTTTTCAGTACAGCTAGTAGTTTCTGTCTATTTCTGTGTGTCTTTGTCATTCTGTAGCTTCTGACGTGGCCTACTTTGACGGCAGCAGCAGCCTGCTCTACAGACGCAGCGCGAGGCCGAGCTGGACGGGGATGGAGGTCGTCTCTCTGAAGTTCAAAACCCTGACGAATTCTGGGACGCTGCTTCATGCAGAGGGACAGAGAGATCCCAGCCTCACTCTGGTGCTGGAGAAGGGACGGCTGCTGCTCTACCATCAACAAGGTACTGACATCTTTCTTCCAATGCTTATATAAAAAAATGGTCTTACAGCAGAACAGAGACAAGCTAAGAGGCAAGAAAACAGATTAAGACATATTTGAATTAAATTAATGAAAAATAAAACGAGGAATCATAAAAATGTCTAGAGATAGCATTAAAAGCTGTCAGAGCATATCATCACTTTATGGCATATGTAAACATAACTACATTGTGCATTTTATTACCTGTTGTGTAAGTGTGTCTGTATATCGCTATAGCTCCGACAAGCATTATAATATCATCACTCAAAATCTACTTCTGCAATCTTCTTTAAAATACTTTAGTTCTGAATAAAAAGCTACAACAAAATGTAGATTGCAATATTTTAAATTAAAAGAGTATTTGGATAGATACATAATTACTACTTTGTTCCTCAAGTCATGCCGGTTTAAATGTTTAACATCCAGTTTGATCATTGACTATTTTACACCTAATATTAAGAGTGAATGCAGTTCAAATGAGAAAAAACAGCCATATTCAACCTTCCAAGGACGTGGATTGAAAGCTGTAAGGTTGGTGAAACTTTGGATATTTGAATTGAATAGTTTTGTAACGGCTTTTCCAGCAAACTCTGCAGCTACATCTATTCATCCACTGTTCATTGCTCTGAGTAAATGTCAGCTAAACGCCTAAACCGTAATTATGCACTGTATTCTCTCAGGCTCCAGAGCATCCGCCAACCCGCCTCTATATGAGGAATGTAATATCTTGCACAGTTCTGTCCCCATAATAAAACGGAGGGAGCTTTAAGTCTGTCTCCGTCCATCTGCTGGATTGCTTGATTGTTTGTCAAATGTGATTTCTAAGATAGCGCTGATCCAATCTATGCCTCTTTCTGCTTATGCTGATGAGCTCAGTACAGTGTTTACTTGTTTATCCATATGTCGCAAGCAATATCTCAGACAAAACTAATCAGATATTGAATAAACTTGGGGAAATGGTGCAGTTTGCTGTAGCGGGCGTGCAGTTACAGGTCAATGTGTGGAGGAGGGCAGCATCCTCTGTTGGGGAAACTCTCACTCTTAGTTTCTCCCTGAATCTTTCCTTACTCTTCCTCCATCGACTCTTTCTCGCTTCAATTCTCTCTCAGCTTGACATCCGCTCTCATGTTCCCTCTCTTCTAATCTGATGATGGATGTAAGCAACATGTGTTAAGGATGGACTCTGTGGTGCACAGTGTGCCAGCACAGTACAGTATAACACGATCCATGGCCTCTAACTGCACGTAACGCAGCACTGTGGAGGCTATGGGAGGTAATGAGTGTGTGAGTGTGTGAGCGTTTCTGTTGGTGTAAATGAGGGGAAATCTTAGGTGTTGTCAGACTGCCAGACCATCATATCAACACCATACGGCATCAAATATGCCATCTGGCTGTTGGAGTACTCGGCTGCTCTGCTTACCAAACAGGGCTTTCTTTTCTGCATTTACGATGGAAGGTCTATTGAAAAGATCGCATCCTGGTAATATGTTACAACTTTTGAAAGAAAAACAGGGTTTTTACTCTTAATATTCCGAACTTTCGAGAGTTAAAGGATACTTTTTTTCAATTCTGACTCAAGCAGTATTTGTAAAATAGATGTAAGGATGAACCAGGAGAGTGTGGCCATAAATAAGGTGCTGTACCGAGTTTAGAATTGTGTTTGGTTTCAGGATTGTTTACGGGCATTTAGCGATAACTTTACTGTACTTTATGCACCCTGTTGATTCCCATTCTGTTCTTCTGATTTTTGGAGTTGAGCCTCTATCTTGTGTTTAATGTCTAATCTGGTCACACTTAATATCAATTTTATTTTTCTTAATTATTGCTATATATATTTCATTACTCTTTTTTTTAGATAACTGACACTTTAATCAGGATAGACAAGTCGATACAAAATATAATGTTTTTATGATATTTGCTTGTTAGGTCTAGAGTAGACAGTAAGTCCTTGGTGCTTAGGCTCTATGGTGAGATCTGTCATTAAGAGGAGTTCGCCCTGAGCAGCAGCAAGATGAATCCCCCAGGGAGTCCAATCACTGGTGGTGGAGGTGGCTGATGATTCTGCAGAGACAGGGCAGTGATGCGGTGGTGGAGGGATGTGCGTAACAGCATCAGGAAAGGCAAAAGAGAGAATCATATCTCAAAAGAACCAGCAGCAACATGATATGCTACAAATGTGTGTTGCTGTGATGTTGGATGGACCTGAGCTGATAGAAAAAGCTGATAGCACGATTGAGAGACACTGAAAGGAGGGACATTTTGAGTTAGCATGCATGAGAGAGTATTTAATGGCCGGATATATGAAAAATGAACACAAGCATAAGCATACAAAAGAGTAGTGTAGCTAATATAAGTCTTTATTGTGTGACATGGACCAAGGATGTTACAGTGGCCGGAGCCTTAGTTAGTATAATTTCAGCATGAAATGTAGTTGGACAACTTCGCTAACATGACATTTATAAATACATTTCAAGATTGGAGTTCTTATGAACATGTTGCTACTATAGTTGCATGATAATTTAGTGATGATGTTTGAAGTTGACCTCCTTCATTAAATGCATACAACAGTCATATATGAAGTAGATTATGGCGAAAATGTTTTCTGAATTCAGCCGTAGTTTATCTATTTTTCTGCTTCCTCACATCCTCCACACTTGTCTTAACCTCCCTCTCTTGCTCTCACTCTCACTCTACATCCCTACAATAAAACCAAAATATTGTCAAACTCCCTTTAGTTGGGAAGGGTTTTATTTCCCTGGTGGGTCTGTCTATCTGTCAGAGAAAGAGAGGCGTTATCTGCAAAAGCCTTCAGTCAGACTGAGTGACGCCTGTCACATTTCCCTGTCGACCCGCGCTGAGAGTCAACAAATTGTTCAAAGAACTCCTGCTAGCCGGGATTGAAAACAAACACTGCTGCTTTTTGTAATAGAGCAGAGATTAGATTGAGCTATGATAATCCAGTGATACAGCCAATACTGAAAAAAACAACCTTCAATCACAGCCCTGTCACTGCACGCTTCTCTCTCTGGCTCTTGTTATTAATTCCCTGCCTATCTGCCCCCGTTCCCTTTCCCTTTCTGCCTTTTCTATTTTCCTCTCTCTCCGTTGTTATTTATCACTGCCTTTCTCATATGTCGACCCAAATCGGCTCCCGCTAGATTTTTTTTGCAGGCGATTATTTGCCTTTTTCAATGGCATGCTCTTCGTCTTTCTCTCTCTATCCCTCTCTTTTACATCCCTCCCTCCCTGCCTCACACTCTCCCAGGAGTTTGCAGTCTACAGACAGTGTAATTTAGATCAATAGCTTGGAGCATCCACCATGAGTCCCAGCATACTCCTCCACAGTCAGTTGTTGGCTCAAGAGACGAGAAGAGGGGCTCCAACTAGGGGGGCAGAGATACAACCTGAAGATTTAGATGCATTATATCCATAGCTCCACAGTGTGAGTGCTTCTCCCTGGGGCTCTTCATTCTTTATCTCTCCAATTTGGCAACCTGATCCTGTCACCTAGCTTTAAAAGTGATGCATGTCGCATCATGAAATGAACAAGCTGGCTGAGACACAGAGGAGCTAAAGACAAGACAGCAAATGATGGCTAGCATTGTGTATCAGGGGACACAAACAAAAGGAGTTGACCATTGCAGATGTTTAGCAAGTGTAACTGCCATTAGCATAAATTAATGATGTATAAAAACAGAAAGAAAGACACAAATGCAGTACAGCAAACAGAAGAATACAACAGAGCAGCAGTTAGTTCTCTGTCTGTCAGTGGCTGTCCAAGCAGTTGGAATACATTGGCTGGCTCATTAAGATTTATGTCCGCTATACAAAACCATCTTATTCTCTCTCTGCTTTACATTCATCAAAATGTCAGTGTGCACTAATGTAGCCAACTGCTTCATAATTCAGTTCAATTCTGAACTGTCACCGGGAAGCTGTAACACACAGCAGTAAATACACTGAGGGCTGCTGGGTCCTGCTCCACTGCGCTCTGGAGGAGGCGGTGTTAAGTATAGCTGGCTAAATTAGGATGGCATCAGAAAGTCGTGCAGGGCATGTTAAGCTGAATCCTGTCTTTTCACTACTGTATATAGGGCATGCTGTGGCATTACATGAACAACCTTGTAATATGTGTTAGTTAAAAGGTAACAAGGCCCATACATACAACACAGACCAAATGACAAAAACTATGATGACATATATGAATGAAAAATATGGATACAGACGCACGTCAAAAATCATCCAGGAGCTGCAAAAAAATGATAATGTGGGCAGGACCACAACAAGGTGTTTTCTTATGTACTAATGTTTTGTTTTGGCCTCAGCTGACGTTTACCAGACTTGTTAATGAGTATTGATATTATTTTCCTATGATCGGTGATCAGTGTAAAAAAAACACGTGTTTCAGATTTTACAGCTAATAAAACATGGAATGTTTCTCTCGTCACACAAAGCAAAAAAAGATACAATCGGATGTGTCTCTATGCACTGTGGAGTTCTGGTGAAAAAAGATGAATCTCCCTGGACAAAGTGTGCCAGTTGGCAGGAAAATGGGAAACAATGAATCGTGGCGGTTACTGTTGCATTTGCTTACTCCATTCCAATTTTTCTAGTGATATACTGTGAGCCTCCAGGAGTTTCTGTTTGTAACCAGTCTTATAAGAGTTTCAGTCGGCAGCCTCTGTATTTTCACAGGAGCATGAAATTGCAAAGATAGCCACGGGACTCTTACTGTAACACTCCTATGCTGAATAATATGTTGCTTACTGCTGATTGTTTGTCTTTGCAGCAGCAATACACTTTGTAGCTCAAAATATAAAGATGATAAGCCACATGTATAGCTGAGCGGGAGATGAGCTTATTTTTGCCTTTTTATGGAGGAAGAGAAGGGATAAAATGTGACAAAGGTCATGTGCATTGAAAAATAGACTTGCTAATCGCCAGCAAGTTTATTTAGCCTGTTGAAACTGCATTTTATTTTTAGAATTCCCAAAATATGAAGCAATCAAGATGAAATTGGAATGAAAACACTCTCCATGAAAATAACTCTTAATTTAGAACATCTGGAATAACTCTGGGTGCAATACAATTTGCATTTCAATTTATCTGCTGATTATCTTTTGGTCATCAATTCATTATTTTTTATATGTGCTTACAGCAACTCTTCACCCTGTTCAGCCCCATATAAAACAAAATGGTTTTTTAAAGCTGTACCTGCTTTTTGTTTATATTTTCTTCCTGTTTTTATACATTGTGTATCAAGTTTTGAATTGAATAAGTTGTTTGAGTCCTGTTCTTTTTTTCACTATTACCTTTTAGTGTTTCTAAAAATGTCAAATGTGACTTGATAGTACAAAAACAAAAAAATATCATGCCAATAAAGCCCCAATGAAATTAATTGAATTGATTTGGAGACGGTGACTTGGCTTGGTTGTGACATTGCTCCCATTAATATCCCTGCCCTTCCAGCTTGTTTTATGGTAATAAACTTAGTTACCACCTGTAACTACATTTTGTTTAGAGAAATAACATTATTTTTACAGTCGAGCTGTATTTCAAACAGTAGCATCACGTGACGCTGCTGCTAAAACAATTATGACAGTCCGTCTCCTGATAAGGCCTGTCATGGCCGCCCTTCATAAACAGATTTACAGCTCGAGCAACGATCCGTAATGGAGCAGCAGACAGAATATGATAAGGTGATATCGCCTCAGGGAGCTGTCTCGAATGGTAGACTGCCGGAAAGTGAAGTGGTGTTCAGCGCAGACACCTCAGCTAAAGACAGGAACATTCAATATTAGTCTTCTCAGGATGGACAAACCCAGCAGTTGTTGCAGTGCAACACAGCGGTGCTTCTTCTCTTCTTTGTTTGGTGCTTTAAGAGTGCAGGTGAGGAGAGGAGGAGTGAGGGGAATTAAAACTGACAGAGAGGAAGTTTCATTAATGAAAGTTAAATGTTTCTACGACTGTTTTTCCACTAAGATTTTTGTATTGATCCACACCTCTATTTCCACTTAATAAAGCTGTAACCAAATATGCCACCTCATCGAATTGCATTCAAAGTTAATAATTGGACATTTTAGGAAATGTTGTTATCAGCTCTCATATTTGTGCAATTTGCTTACAGTAGCTTAGCTTAAAAACTGGAAGCAGGGGGAAACAAAAGTCAAGGCTTGATCTAAAGTTGAATGTTTTTAAGCGATTGTCTATTAGAAGCTCATGGGTGTGCCTCTAGCCTTAATTTTGTCCTTAATATAGAAATACAATGCAGTATACATAACATTTAAATAACGTATAAATTAAAGTGATAACACAAATCAAATGAGAATTTAGGATAATAAAACAACATACATACATTTAGCAGTGTGTGCTTGTTCACAGTTTTTGGTTACATCTTAAAGCCTACTTATATTGAGCTTTAAGTTGTTGAAATGTAAACCCAGCTGAATTAATTTCAATTACTTAAAACCTCAAACATTAACAAATTGTGTCTCATTAGTCTAATACAATTACTGAAATGTAAAAACAACAATTTGTGGTTTTATGAAGAGCTATGTTTTTTGGAGAGGAGCAGCTCCTCTGGTTTTAGAAAAACTAGACTAATTATTTCTTCCTCATTCCAGTTTCTAAGATAAGCAAATTACCTCCTAGAATCTCAATACTTCAACACCTAGCTAGCAACTTTGTTCAAATACACAAAACATAAAACAATACATGTGGTTCTTGGTCGTTTGTATGGTTTATGAGAGAAAGGTTGGTTGAGAACAAAGCTTTTCATATATCCATCTATATACATATCCGACTATCTACCTATTTTTTACCTGTCAAATTATCTACCCTCATAAAAATACAAGCTCTTAAACAAACAACTCAGTGTATCTCACTCGTTCTGGTTTATCTCCCTCTGTCAGCAGAAACTCTTTCTCTCCCACAAAGTTGAACCTGCTGATGTTGGGCTGTCATTAATTATGTCCTGCTGTTATTTTGCAGTCTCATTATCGAACGTATCCACGACTTTGTTTTGATAAATCACACATGAACTTTCCTTTAGGGTTTCCTACTGCCAGAAAAAGTATGTTTTTTTTGTTTTGGTAAAGTGATTTCTTCAAGTATGTTTGTCCTTGCATTAAGGAGGAGGACACAGATTGCTGACCTTAACAATTTTTTTTTTAAGGTAGTGCACCTCAGGAAAAAAAGTTCCTCAATGCACCTAAGAGGATTTCTGCCTATTTCTCCCAGCTATACAACGAAGAAAACACAATTGATTGTTTCACACCATCACTTCTGCAGGTGTGAGTTCCTCCTCCAGTGGGCAGCTTCTTGTCTCTGTGGGCAGTCTGCTGGACGACCAGCACTGGCACCATGTGAAGCTGGTGCGCCTCAGCACTCACCTCAACCTCACCGTGGACAAGAACACTCGTCAGGTTCACATACCAGCCGAGCTCAGCCACTGGGACATTCATCAGGTAAGAGAAACTTTCCAGCAACCCTGTCTCCAACAAAATAACGTTTCAGTACAGCTGAAGTGCATTCTCAATTTTATTTTGAGGTAAACACATTTTTCTCTCGGATTATGATCACAGCTTTAAACACCTTGTTAATGATGCTACAAAAACCACTTGGTAAATTTTAGAAAAAGCTTTATAGTTTGACATAACATTAGTATGTTTGTTCCTTTATTTAAATTACGGATGTATAATAAACTAAATCAGTGATGACTTTTGGTTTTACATGGGAAGTCAACTGCAAACTCTTTGGAAAAAATACGTTTATTTTTACCTATCCACCCACACAGACCTCCCCACTGCGAGGTCTTCCACATGTTATTTTACACTTTATTTAAAACTTCTTTATGATACATATAGAACAAAAATAAAAATAGGGAAAATGACAATGTACTTTTATTTCCTGGTAATGTAATCTTCAGGAGACTAGGATGCAAAAGGGTATTTTAAAGTGGTAGCCTAATCTATACTAAGACATTTAATGTATCAGACAAAAAGGTTTGTTTTGTCCAATATGGCAGCAGCTTGAACTCATATTGGATGCGTTACTAGGGATACGGGAGCAAACAGAGTCTATGAATAATACAATTTTTCTTTTTCCCAATCAGAACTTGAGTAACCTTTGAATTTTACCTTGGTCCGTGAAAACGTTCTATCAGATTCCATGTGTTGTTTCTTCTCCAGCTGAGTCTGGGAGCTGTCCAGAGCCATGGCCTGCAGAAACCCATCCTATCCAACAGGAACTTCAATGGCTGCCTGGAGAACTTTCTCTACAACGACCTCAACCTGATACACCTCGCTAAAAAGAAAAACCACCAGGTCTCTTTGCTGGTAAGTTACTGGTTCAGCATCTTTGGAACATCAATAGGGAAATCTGCCAGCCAATGTCATCAGAAGGTGAATGTAGATATGTGTTAATTTAGAGTATGATAAGTGTAAATATTAAGAAGCCCTGATAAACAAAATCTTAAAATACAACGATGGATTTCTGGTTTCAGATACAGCTCTGTGAAAGTTTGTTTATATCCCGGAGCTTGAATTAATTCGAATTTGGACTATTGATCAACTATGAATATGTTAGGTAACTGTGTGAAAATATTTATACTGATTTAAAAACGGAGGCCTTCTGAAAATTCTAGATATATCTCTATAGGGCTTATGGGTACTGTAAAGCTGAGTATGTGAGTAATACGTACTTCTATTTCTATGTTTCTATTTTCTATTTTCCATTTTTATATAACCATGATATTTATTTATGATTAATCATAATTTTTACATCACTGTTTAGTCTTCCATCATTTTTTTGTGGATTGTTGCCCAGAAATGAATGTAAGATGTTGTTTTATTGAGCAGTGTTTGGGGTAAATGTAAAACCTATTTAAATTCTGAATGAACTTAAAGGTGGGGTATGTAAGTTTGAGAAACCAGCTCGAGTGCGCTAGAATTTGAAAATACACAACCGGAGAAAATCTGCCACTTCCTTACAGAGCCCCTCCTCCAACACACACGAACGCGCAGATGACCAATGAGGGCACGAGATAAGTTTGTGCACAGATGGAAGGCTGACAGGCAGGTAGGCCATCCAGTTACTTTAGCCGGGCCGGCTAAAATGATTGGTCGTGCTTTTTACAGTACTACGGCTTCCACAGATTACATTTTTTTATGGATTTTTTGTCAAAGCACTTAAGATATTCATTGCTATCGGGATGTTAAGAGCATTCCATGGAATATAACAAAAAGTGTATCTCGAGCCGGTTTCTCAAACTTACCTACCCTACCTTTAAGTGTAAACTGTTTCCTTCCCTTCAGACTTTCAGTGCTCCTCCTCCCACAGTGTTCTCCCTTTCCCTTTCCTGCAGTGCCATTATTATGCTAACGGTCACTGTCAGGATTACTGTTGTCATTATCGTTATTTTCATCATCTGCATCATCATCCTTCTCATTTTCACACCCTTCATCACGTCATTAGCATCATCATAATCTCGTTCATTACCATCTCCAATGTCATCACTTAAACTTTTGATATACTAAGCCCAAAGCAAAGAGAAAAAAAAACTGAAGAAGATGAGTAGAGACTGCGATAAGAAGAAGAATAAATCGGGAAGGAAAGGATGTGGAGAATGAAAATGAGGAAAGGGGAGGGAAGAGGGTGACTGGAGGAGGAAAAGAGAACAACTGGAACCTTTTGGTGCTTTGAAAATAAATATGCAAGTTATGCTAATGAGGTGTAATGTACAATGTGTACCTTACATTGTGCGGTGTAGGAGATTTCCCTGGCTACATTATGCTAACCATATCATACATCCTTTGTGCTGACTTTCTTAATTCCCTTTATAGGTTTTTTGTAATGTTTTATGGACATTTAAATCATACTCATGCCTTTGAACCTTTTAGATCAAACTTTTCTGAAAAAGTTCTTCCATTGTATTATTTTAAATTTCCCGATGTCACGCTGGCATTAAGAGAGGTGAAACAAATGATGGAAGTGGGTGCAGAAGCTGCATGACCCGGTGCTTCTGGTTTTATCGCTAATTTTAGCTGCTCAGCTAATAGCATTATGTTAATACAGATGTCCTTTGCAGAGAGCTGCTGAGGAGACCTCAGTGACATTGAGTCAAAACCGAGTCAGCCTTTGCAACCAATGAATATTCATGTCTTTCTTTTTCATAATCCTCTCTCTCTCCTCCTCAGGGCAATGTGACCTTTTCTTGTGCTGAGCATGTGTCAGTCGCTGTGACGTTCACCGACTCCCAGAGCTTCCTGCAGGTGCCCGGCCTGACGTCGTGGTCTTCAGGGCTTTTCTCTGTGGCCCTGCAGTTTCGCACGTGGAACAAGGGAGGGCTTCTCTTGACCTTTGACCTCCCGCAGCAGCAGGGCACAGTGTGGCTGTACCTGAGCGAGGCCAGACTGCGCCTACAGATCAATAAAGCCGGCAGGGCCCGGCTGGAGCTCAGCGCAGGTCAGTTCAATCAGGATTCTGATGAGTTTCACGTAGAGGGAGGTGTGTCTCTGGTGCCTGTGTTGTTCAGTTGTATTACAGAGATTTCATGACATGTTCTCTCAGCTCAGATTCATGCAATACACATACAATACCAGCCAATTAACAGCCTACAACATTCAGCATCATTCTTACCTATTTCTTGTTTCTTTGCATGATGTTTTAGTACAGTATGTACTGATAGGCACAAGGTACAGGGATGAGGAAGATATTGAATACAAAGTTAACTGACTGAAATAAATCATTCTGTTGGAATTTTCCTAATGTGTGCCTAATCTATTAATATCGAGTGTATTGTTGACTGAAATGGCAGGGCTTTAACACTAAACGTGCAACAGACTGTTCTTTACAGCTTTTATAAACACATGTATTACTTGGCATAAAAAGCAGTTTCCTAGCCATTTTGTGTTATGCTTCATTTAGCACTTTACGTTTCGCGAGTCATTCAAAAATATTTAGTGTAAAGGAAGGATTTGTTCTTTATAAAACAGTAAGTCCACAGGGCTTAGACTTTCTCACAGTCTTGCTCAGCTGACAGGTTTCCTCTTGATAAATAAGTAGTTAATGAAGTATGGAGCTTTGGTCGAATGATAACAGGTGGTTATAAAGTGGGAGGGGGGGGGGAGTCGTAACCTCTGTCAAACCTGTACGCAGACAAGACTGCACCATTATTTTGGGAGCTCCTGAAAGCAATAAGAGTTTTGTTATATCAAAATGTTAATTCTGGCTCATTAAATGTTGAAATGTCACAGTTCTCCAGACTATTCATTATAACCTTAACTTGTGCAAAGTTTATAACACTGAAACTTATTTAGTAGTTTTATCACAACTATAAACAGCTTCACATCACCTTCATTGAGTTTAAGGTACTACAAAAAGAGTCATCATCCTGATTTGCAGTCAAACCCAAACAGCAAGGAGAAAAATCAATCGAATGACTTGTGAAACAATGACAATGTTATCAAATAGCATTTATCTTTTTTATGCCCCTTGTGTCTGTGTGTGCATGAAGGCTCAGGGCTAAATGATGGTCAGTGGCATTCTGTGGAGCTGAACTCAGAGCAAGATCTTCTGAGCATCACAGTGGACAAAAACGAAGGAGCCACCGCTCACACCCGCACCCCACTTCCTCTAACCGCAGACAGTCAACTCTTCTTCGGTGGTAAGTGAAATAAATCTTACATTATCTGTGCTGTCTCCAGGGTGTTTATTTTCAACCCTACTTTTCTGTTGTCGAATATTTACAATTGTACCTCACAAACTGCATACATTGATATTTAGGACTGGTTCAAATTCATGGGGTCACTCAGGGGGCAATTATCATCGGCAGATCTACTTAGGAGGTTTTAGTGGCACCCTCAAAGACATAAATAGGCTTTATCTCCCTCTTCATTACTTGTTCATCCTTTCTTTCACTTTCTTTAAAGTTATCTTTCTCCTCTCCTTTTACTTTCCTTTTCTTTCCTTCCTCTATGCATTTCTCGCTCTCCCATTCCCTTCGCTTTTAATTCATCCCAATCTCTTTCGTCTTTGCAGTGCCTAAATATGCTCTCCCCTCTAATTATTCCAGAAATACTCTTTTACACAGAAATAAAGGAACATGCTGTAGAGATACACAGGTTTTAAGATTAGATAACACACATTCCAAATGATAAAAGAAGTAAAGATTTAAAGGGATTTTGAATCCTAAAAAGTTAACACTGTGTGAAAACTTCTCTGAGTCATTTTTGCAGTCATGAAGAGAACAGCAAGAAACAGAAAGTCACCAAAGATAGCCCCCTTACACAGACAGTGAGGTGGAGAAAAAAAACACTTGGGAACAAATCTGCAGTGATTATCAAATGATAGGCATCTTGTGCACTTTCAATCTAAAAATGCAACTCTGCTGATGAAAAAAAGTTTTAGAATTGTATTTTCTGTAGAGCAGCGAAACAACCAAATACACTCATCATGCAGCAGGAAGAAATACGTTTATTTATTACTAGGTAAAAGTATAAATGCTATCAAACTATACTTAAAGTACTAGATGTACTAATCATGATTTTAGAATAATGTTTTGCTTTATAATATTGTATTAAAGATTCAAAGGTTTATTGTCATAACATATGCAATTATTGTGTAATGATGTATGGTATAAAAAACGTAGATCGCAGGTTCCTCAACAGTGCAATTACAAGACTATTGTGTTTTGTTCGTGAACATAGCTTGAATGTACAGTGGAGCCCTTTTAACCACATTACACACTGCTAACTTGTTAATCTGCCCCTTCCATGTTGTTCTAAATGCAGAACATTCTCAAATAAATCAGGGGCCTCTGAATTGCAGTGGAATGGAAGTATACTGTAAACTAGCAGAAAATGAAGTATCTCACAGCGATCAAAAAGGGTTGAATTACTTTCCACCCCTGACTGATTAGATGTTGTCTCTCTTCAGAGGGGAATCTATCTCCAGTGCTGAATGGTGAGACTTTTTTAAACCACACAAGTATCTTGGTAACCGAAACTGTGCCTAATAACCTAAAGGAGGCTTTTTTCAAGATAACATTAGAAGAAACACACTTTGTTGGCCTTTATCTTCTTGTGTCAGAACTTTTTTTGACATTAATTCTGAACTTGCGCTTGTGATGAGAAATATAGAAATATCCTTCACAGCTTGGAGTCAGAAAAGTCATAATCACTTAAGTGTTGACCCCCTATAGAATATCCTGGGGAAATTAACATAATAACACATTCCCAAGTGAATTCAGACATATATTATACTTATGATATGATTTAATATATTCCCCCGATCAGTGTTATTATCTGAGGAAAGGGGGAGAAGGGGGTTGTCAATTCAGCTGTGGACCAACCAGAGATGGAGTACTCGAGTCCTGGACTCGGACTCGAGTGCCGATTTTCGGGACTCGTGACTCGACTCGGACTCGCGCACTGATTGACGCGACTCGGACTTGGACTCGTGAATTCTCGCACACGATGACTTGGACTCGGACTCGGGAATTATCGCGTACGCTGACTTGGACTCGGACTCGGACTCATGAATTTTTCCCCCCACGATGACTCGGACTCGACTTGTACATTGACGCTCCGACTTGGACTCGGACTCGGACTCGAGCAAGTTTTCTATGGAGTCTGATGTCCTCTATCCTGGCGTGTGCACCGGCCGCGAGGCGAGTTCACGTACTGGGCCCCGCTATTCCAGTCTAAAGATGTCTAGAGACACACCCCGCATCGTGCTGTATGCTTTCACACATTCTGCTTCCACATTGGAAAAGAGCAGCGCAAAATGCTCTATGTGGAAACAATATTGAAGAGAAGGCTCCGTAACACATTACTCTAAACATCGAGTTCAGACATATAGGCTGTCTTGAACACTATCATCAGAGTAACGTCATCTAATCAATACATAAAGATTCAGCCGATAACACGAAAGCACACGGCTACTTAACATGCAGAATGACGTCATTTTGCATGCTAAGTAGCCATGTGCTTTCTGGGGCTAAATCTTTATCAGTAAACCGATTTAACCGGTAAAAGTTCCTTCAAAATAAGAGTCCCGATCTTATTACTATCAAAATAAAAGTGCAAAACGAAAACTTTACCATAGGAAAATATTGGCATACAAATATAATCACTTCTCTAAAAGGTAACTCATTTTAAACATAGTTTATATATAATAATAATAATAATAATAATATTAATATTAGTAATAAGCTTTATATTTGTATAGCACCTATTACAAGAATTGTAGCCAAACTCGCTTTACAGCAGTTCAATAGACAGATTAGTATAACATGACAGGATAAAAGCAATGTAGAGGAGCAGTTACATTTCAACACATATATCCATGAAGATTAATACATGAAGACTTGTGACTCGGACTTGACTTGGACTCTTCTTAGGTGACTCGGACTTGGACTCGGACTCGAACACAGGTAATGATGACTCGGACTCGGACTCGACTCGGACACTCCTTGGGTGACTCAGACTTGGACTCGGACTCGAACACAGGTAATGATGACTCGGACTCGGACTCGACTCGGACACTCCTTGGGTGACTCGGACTTGGACTCGGACTCGACTACGACTCTCCCTTGGTGACTCGGACTTGGACTCGGACTCGAAGAGTGGTGACTCGAGAGTGACTTGGACTCGTGAATTGGTGACTTGACTACAACACTGGGACCAACCAATAAGTGAGTGTTGTGTGTTTCCCTCTCCAGGTTGCAGCAGCAGTCAGGAGTGTAGGAACCCCTTCAAAGTGTTTCAGGGCTGTATGCGTCTGCTGACTCTGGATAACCAGCCAGTTGACCTGATCAAAGTGCAACAAAGGATGCTGGGAAACTACAGCCACTTGCAGATTGATATGTGCGGCATCATCGACAGGTTAGTCTCCAAAAGAACCAGCTGAATGTTTTTCTGCTGTTTACATGCAAAGTGTTGGGCTGATAAATAAGTGCAATAACTTTTATTATGATCTTCATCTACTCTGTGAATTGATTTGGTGCAAAGTAGTTTCCACAGTGAGTATTGGAATTGTGAAATCATTGATAATACAGAGACAATAAATTAAACGAGGCTAATTATCTAGGCTTGACAATTGTCATTATTCGACTCAACAGGATCAAAGGGAATCATGATTTAAATTTCAGTCAGACAACTCACGTGTTTCTTTAACATGTTTATTAGAAGCAGCATATAGTTGAGTTTGGCGTCTAGGCTCGGGCCTCATCACTCCACAGATATACATAGCACGATGAGTGATGATTAAATAACTAACCCCCCGAGCCTACAGGTGGAAGCTGGGGTGGAAGCTGGGGTGGTGGTGGTGGGGCAGGCAAGCAGCAGCGACGTGGAAGTAGCTGCAGCAAAGCAGCAGCAAGCAATGCATAGAAAGAGATCTGGCAGGTTAAATAGAGCGGCATATTAAGGAGACTCTGTTTGGTTGGTTGCAGAGTGGCAAGGGGCGTTATGTATGAATGCAGCATAAGTGCTCGAGTTGACTGCCTGAACTAGCTCGCAGGCTTCGCCCATTTGGTAATATTCTACTTTTTCCTGTTGTTTGTTTTGATATCATGCAAAACAATGCGTTTTTTCATGATATTTGCTGCCATGATAAATAGTCATTAATATAAAAAATCTGTGAAAATAGTCCCCAATAATAAAACTATTTACTTAAAACGTATTGAAAGGATATACTTTATTCTAAAAGCATTAGTAAAGATCTCCTTGCTGCTAACAAACTGCAGGTTCAGTATACCGTGGAGAGCGCTGTGGCAGCATGCAGTTTTTCATTTCAGAGTTTTCTGCATTTGAAGGCACATTTGTGAACACTTTCATATAGATGTAATTAGGTGTGGTTTATAATTGGTGAATTTTTCTATCCAGCATACACATTCTTAACAATTCTCAGTGTGTACTCAAATGTGTAGATACACATTCAATTCTACGGTCTGACTGCTTAAGTGGTAAGGTGAATGAAAGGTGAATACGAAATTCTGCTATAAGACGTGCCACGTTGCTTTATAATTAAAGTGATACAAGGAAAGTTTGTCATATTAAATATACCATCTGGCAGTCTGCTGACTGGGGCTTTTTACTCAAGGAAAAAGTTCTGGAGGAGGGTATTTCTTATAACTCACTTTTTTACTTACACACACGATTATGCAAATATCTAAATCTAAACTATCTCTCTTGGGTGGGGCGAAAAGACTTGTTTGTATCACGGAATGAAAGGGAAATCCCTCCTGGAGGCACACAAGAAATCAAGGGATTGAAAAATAAGCACCAACAACCATTTATTAATCTAGAACTCTCATCCTTGGCCACTTCAAACACTCGCTACACCTAACTGCCTTACACCCTGAAGAGAGACTGAAATACTTACTGTAAGTGCTGCTTAGTGGATTAATTAGCACTTAGAGGAAAATGTATTACTTCCCCTTGTTCACCTAAGGTGATTATCAAAGACAAAATGGGAATGATGTACCTCCTAAGTTATCATGGAGAGAACATTTTAAGTATACTACAATAGGGAATGGCTGTATAGTCAGGGATTGGGCTTCAGGTCCTGCTGGGTTGATTTGTTTTGTGCGTCTCAATGCCCCCTTTCTTTGACAAAGTATGTGTCGGGGGCACTGGTTGTTTTCACTATGTTGTTTCCAGGTCAGAGCACGAAACCAGTTTATTTCAACCCTGTCTATTGGCAAAAATGTTCTGAATGGCCAGGTTAAAAGAGCCACGCTAAAAATATTGCATCACAGAGAGAGGGATACAACATGAGGAATCGTAAAAATGGGCATAATGGCGGACATTTTCGGACTTACTCTTTTGCAACGAAGGAAAAACGAGAAAGTAGTTGCTTGTCAGATTTTTAGTTATGCAAAATTAAAAAAAGTTGTTGGACAAAGTGCCAAAGTCTGACATGAAAAGAGAATCGAGGTAGGGGGTTTGAACAAGCACTTCATTTGAAGCATACTGACACCTTTAGGGCACACTTTCCTTCGTATGCTATGAAGTCTCTGAACTGAGTGCTCCCTGCTGCCGACCTCTTTCCTTCACTGTGCGTGTTTGTGGAGCGAGAGAGATGAAGCTGTCAGAAGGCAGTCCCTTTTGTTACTGTCAGTTTTCTGACAACTTAATAATACACTTGTCAAAACACACATAAAAAGAAGCACAGGTCACCACCAGGTCCACTCCTCTTGTTTTGTTTGGCTGTCTGTGTATTTGTCTGTCTGTCAGCCAGTCACGTTACGACATGGCTGTGGCTCAGGCGCCGTTTACACGAGGAGAAAACTGCTTGTATCTGCATAGTTTCGCGTGCGTATAGCCCTATTATTTACACGAGGCCGATAGAAACTGACCCCACAAACGATAACGGGTCCCAAGGTGGATAGATTTGCAAACGAAACGCTCTGGGGGGTCAACCGAGTCCGTGTAATCACCTCTATACGAATATTTCCTGAAAAAATAACGATAGCCCCACCTCTCCCCGCCTCTCCCCACCTCTCCTGCTCACTGCTGTAGCAACTATCAAAAATAGCTGTGTTAATTAAACGCACAACGGGTTCTTGAATGAAATAATATTATAAAAGGCAAACCAGAATTGTTAACGCCCAATATACTCCTTAAACAAAATAAACAAAGTCAGATTTCATGCATTGATCCATTATATTGACAATTTTCCAGCCAAACAACACAAACAAAATTAAAAAGTCCGCTCTGCGATACACCAAACTTGTCTTTACTGCCTAATCCAGGCCATTATTGTTCATTGCTCCTGCGTCCCGTCGGCGGCAAAAAGAGAAATGTTTGTAGGCAGAGGACCGGCGTGTCCCAGTGGAGCGATCTCACCCGGTGTTTGTAGAGAATATCTCTCTTTCTGAGCGCGTCCTCTCCACGGAGACGTGCTTCTTGGTCGGTCGATGCAATATCCACAGATTCGGTTTCTTTCAGTTAACTTCCCCGTTGCATTTATCCATATGCTGAGGAAATTACTATATCCCGCTGAATACCAGCAATCGCCACACACACTTCCTCCTGTCAGTAGCTACTGCTAGTGCTACTGCTACTGACCATGCTACAGATATTAGTGCAAAATCTACAGCTCCTCTACCACAACCATCAGCAACAAGTGGACATGGAGAATTACATGAACTACATGTTGCTAAATACACCGCGGGGCATAAACAGAAGGGTAGCCATGGCAACATTGCTGCAGGGCTGCTCCAGGCTGCTCTTCTTCGCTGCTTTTGGTGTATTTTGGCGGAAGTTACAGCGCCACTTACAGTCCCAGCATATGTACTACAGCGTTTCCAGCGGCCTCGTTTGAACAGACACGTTACATGAAACGAATGCATGTGAACGGAAGACTTTTTTGAATACGCATACTGTGCATAAACGCAAACGTTCCCGTGTGAAGGAGGCCTCAGTGTGACCAGGGACTCACACACACATCCTCAAACGTGTGTGTGTGTGTGTGTGTGTGTGTGTGTGTGTGTGTGTGTGTGTGTGTGTGTGTGTGTGTGTGTGTGTGTGTGTGTGTGTGTGTGTGTGTGGTGTGTGTGTGTGTGTGTGTGTGTGTGTGTGTGTGTGTGTGTGTGTGTGTGTGTGTGTGTGTGTGTGTGTGTGTGTGTGTGTGTGTGTGTGTGTGTGTGTGTGTGTGTGTGTGTGTGTGTGTGTGTGTGTGTGTGTGTGTGTGTGTGTGTGTGTGTGTGTGTGTGTGTGTGTGTGTGTGTGTGTGTGTGTGTGTGTGTGATCGATCTGGCAGTTTATCCAGCAGGTGCAGACTGAAAGCATTAAAGTGGACCTATCATGCTATATTATAATATTATAAAACGGACAAGTCAAATCAAGCAATCTGATTGGTTCTTAGCCGTGATATACTGAGCGTATACCACGGGTAGAATTGTAAGTTACTTTTCACAACAAGTCAGTATCCCTCCGCGTCTGAGAAAAACAGTATACAGTTGGGCTGAAAAGCAAACTGCTTGCAGTTTGCTTTTCAAACTGGAACAAGAAAGCAGCGGAGAAGTAACGGGGCAGAAACCCTCCTTTTTACGCAGCGGTCCAGACATAGACATCAAACGGCAAAAACATATTCAGTGTGCAGTTCCTTTGGCATTAGGGCAGGGATATTTAGATACTTTCCAAGGTTTGACATCATGAATTGTGCTACTTTTAAAGCAAGCAACGATGTTTTCAAATCTGTAATCAAAAAGGTCTGCAAAAACATTTAAGATTAACTTCGACCTCCGGGGGGGTCTTACTATGGAGGAGTGGATTGAGGAGTGCGAGTGCCTATCTCCAGAACAAAAAGCACCTAAACGACGACATGTAGAGCTACGTGAAGAGCAGGTAGTAGACCAACTGGAAAAGTATCACCATTCAAAAGCTTTCTGATGCGGGTCTTGAAACAAAGCAGAGAAATGATGACCGTTAGTGGCCACAGGTGCGAAAGCTCTCTCCAGAGCTACTGGAAGCCGAATCTCGGGGACCGGAGAAAGTGGAGCAAAGTTGTCGACCCTCCGCTTCGCGTCGGGCCGAACCACGCCCCTTAACTGTGATATAATGGCCATATACCACGGCCTGTCGTGAGCTATTGCTTAAATATAGTATAGGACCATACCTATATAAGGCATATTTATACTTTTTTTTTTCAAAATACCAAACAGATCATGCATTTTAGCCATGCCTCATTTCGCTCAATTTGCACTTTTTTAGCCCTGTTTTTGCAAGGGCTGATTCAGTGAGAACAGCACCACCTACAGGCCTGGCATATGTACTATAGCGTCTCCAGCGCTTTCGAACGGCAATGGCCGTGGCTGTCTCCTCCTGATTGGTGGAGTTGGCCCAATAGCCGTAGCGCCACCGTCCTGACGTCAGGACAGTGTTCAAATCTGGATCAGTTTTTATCAGATCCGTTGCAGCCCCTTTTTTAGAGATTTGGGTATGGAGGAAAATAGAGAGGGTTGTGCTTTCTGACACTTGGTGAGTTCCCTGGAACACCGGGGACACATATTCATGTATAGAAGACGTACAAAAGTGCATTTTGCATGATAGGTCCCCTTTAAGCAAACTTTTCCCCTCTCTCTCTCTCTCAGCAGACAGCGGCTTTTTGAAGTCTTAGTAGGACATCCCAGTCCAGATCAGGACCTGTGCTGTGTTGGTTTAGCCTGAGGCAGTATTAGAAACCGGGGGAGATAGGATGCAAGCCCTGTGATACATTATAGCACACTGTTACACAGCGCTGGAAACTTAAAGATAAGCTACAAAGTGGCTCAGTTGATCCAGGAGTGCTGTGATCTGAGCTGTGGTGCAGTCTGTCACATTACATTGCAAAGTGTAAGTCAAGCCAGGAGACCTCCAGAGATTTATAGAGGACATATTGTTTGTGAAACTTAAACCCTTTTTAGCCTTGAAAAGATTGATACTAGATTTAGTGGTACAAGCTACATTGCAGTTCATCGTTTGACCTGCGCTAGAGTTTCTGATCCTCTCTGTAATTTTCTCTCTCTGAGTTTCTGTTTGAGGCAGCATGGTTACACTGCTGACAGCAAACTGGGTTTTGACACATGACAGAAAACTCAACCAATGCTGCAGGAAAAAGAGTTGCCTACTGTGACCACAGATGTTTTTTGCCAAGAAAAGTGGAATCCTACCCACTGTAACAGAGGGCAGTGGGAGTCTGGGCAATGTGGATGTCGAAAAGATTCAGCAAAATGGGTGCATGCACAGTCTAGGACTATACTGTTTGGGATGTAGTCAAATAATGTTCTACCTGCAGTGAAATTAATGGGACAGTTCTCTAGTTTGTTTCCCCATCTAGTTCTTTTTAGTGTGAGTTGCTGAGATGCTTTTGATTGTGACAGTGCAAGATGTAAACATGAATGGCTTTCTTATCATGTGAGCTGTAACGTTTATCTAGCTCAGGAGAGGCTCTGGTCAATGATTTGATACAATCTTTCTTCTGTGCAGTGATATGGTAGAAAGAAAATGGTTCTTACATCAAACAAGGTCTGTGGCCTTCAATGAATTTACAGAGGACCTTATGTGAAATATTAGGCTGAAAATGTTGATGATCAGGCAATTGTGTTGATAATATGTAAGATAATCATCCTAGGATAAATCTCTAGTATGTAGATTTGTTGACACTTTAGGGAAAAACAGCAGACATGCAAAGACATATTAGGTAAAAGACCTTGGCTGTTAGCTTTAACAACCGCTGTAACAGTCGAATGCCATGATTCTCAGCAGCATCAACTTTGATCTCTGCAGTGTTACACAGCTTCTCCTCTGCTCTGTCTCGCTTCAGTCCGCTGACTTCATTTCCTCAGGTTCACTGTCCGAATCTAGTCACTGCTTCCATCTTGCTGATGCTCACTTCATTTTTCCTTCCGTCCATCACCCTAAGCCTCTGTATCTCGCCTCCTCCCTATCTTCTCCCTTCCTGCCATCTTGAGGCATCCATGCTTTCTAATTTGTAAATCTTCTGACCATACCTCTTTTCTGTCATCCTGTCAAATACCTGTCCATGCTAAGCTGGTACAGTATATAGTCTCTTGTACTTATATTTTTTGTTTGGACTCTTGTGAGTTATACAACTTGAAATTATATATTGGTTAGGGTTGGGTATAGATGTGTAGTTATGGTGGTAATGCATCAGGCGAATAATGCTTCTCACAGGTAAAAGTTCATCGTGAATTAAATGATTTCTTTATCTTTGTGTCTATGTGCCCAACCCTTATGTGTTTACAGACAGCAAAAATACAGTTTAGGTGGTTAAACTTTCCATTTCAGTACCAGATTATTGGTCATTTTATCGCTCTGTCCTAAACAAAATATGCTTCCTTCTCTGCAAGATTTGCCGATAAAATCTGCTGCAAAAAAGATTCCCTTCCTGAAACATAAATCCAGTTTTCACAGTCATCCAAAGAATTTAAAACACAGTACATAAAGGTAATTTTATTAACAACATAACATCTCTGTCTTCGCAAACCGGACAGTACATACTGTGAAATGAAACTCATACTCAATTTCACCTTGCTCAAACATTAAACAACGTGGTCCCTCCACTTTTTCCTGAGCTTTTAAACATGTCCCTTTTTCTGTGTATTCACATCTCCTCTCGAAAATAGGTTTTGGATAGGATGTTCTGACAACAAATACATAATTCAGTGTCTATACACTGTAACAGGTAAACATTGTAAATCATTTGGTGTTCATTTCTTATTTAAAGGCTTAGGGTGAGACTAAACATTCACCATACTGTATAAGTGTTTACTAATATAGAATGTCTCTTGAAATAAAGCTTTTTCTCTGGTCTCTGATTAAATAATGAGATATTACTTATTAGAGTTCAGACTCTGTATTTTCCATGGGTGTGCAATTTACCGTTTCCTGGTGGCTCACCCAATTATATTTTTGTATTTATCTAAAAGTCAAACTCAGCTGGAATTGGACATTAATGTGAGATTGTAAAGATTGAATCACCGTTAATGTAGTTCTCCTGTGTTCATTCTGCTTATGCGACCTGTATACAAATTAGCTTATTAACTGCAGTTGATTAAATTGCATCTGGTCCCAGCTTAATATACAATACATTAAACCGTTTTGCAGCTGACTTGCTAATGTTATAGGCCTCACACAGCAAATGACCTCCCCTCACCTCTAATAGCACCACTTCCACCACACACACATTCTCCTCCTGTGGAAGCACTACAGACACCACACACTGCATTCCCTGGATGGATAGTCACAGATATGGTTCTCAAAACTTTCAACAATCAAAACTAAAAACTAAATCAAACTAATAGACATCATGGTATAGGAAACGTAGATTAACAATGTGAAATGTTGAAGTATTCTGTAAACTGAATTGTTATTGGTTTCACTTTGTGTCTGTGTAAATGGTAAAAGTGTTATCAGAAGCTGTAACGAATAATGTGCTGTGTGCATCTTCAGCAGATGGGAGGCTGAGGAACAAAATATGTCTCCTTTTCTTGATAAAAGGTGTAAATAAATAATAAAAGCCTTTGTTCTTGGAAAGATGGGTTTGGTGGGAGTTTGAGAATGTTGTCTCTGGCTGATGCAATGTCAGTTAACACAATACTAAGAAAGGCATGTTTCAACGTCAGCTTTTTCTCAGAACATCCACCTCCACTCGACATGAGAATAAAGAAGTCTTCGTTTAAAAAGATTGAAACTTTTGTTTTAAGACTGCTTTCATTTAGATCCCCCCCACGCACCTGCTCATCAGAACTGGCAGGTGTACTGTATGCCTGTTGTTGATTATTGTACCAAAGTCCTTGAGAAACTTTTCAGATAACTTCTCACAGACACTCTCTATCTGTGTCTTTGTCTCTGCCTGTCTGCAGGTGCTCTCCCAGTCACTGTGAACACGGAGGCAGATGCACTCAGTCATGGAGCATCTTCCACTGTAACTGCTCCAACAGTGGCTACCGAGGAGCCACCTGTCACAGCTGTAAGTATCCAGCACCTGGGCATCTGCAGGTCTTTAAAAGCCTGAGGCGTAAAATACAATTATGAAAATTAAATGTATTTAATTTTAGGTTGAAAAGGGGTCAGCTATTTTTGAGGGTTTTTATTATCTGACATTATGCTTTAATTTAGGTTGTAGTCACTTAAAATACATATCATCTGATTATTGTGTTTGAACAGTTAAGGTGGCCTGGGTTGCAGTTTTTAATCAATTTTATATACATAATAATAATAAAAGCATTGACAAGGGGCAACTTCCAAAGTATTCACAAGGGAATACAATTTGACCCATTTGATTTGTTTAGTTTCAAGTTTTGAAGGTCACCTATTATTACTTTTTCCATGTCTTTTATACATAAATGTGTGCCCTTCTGTGAGAGATTTGAACAAATTCAGGAAAAAATATTCTCTCTCTTTTTGTCCTGATCCATCTATATAAAAACCTGTCTAAAAATGAGCTGATCATCATGATGATTCTCAAAGGGGCTTGGCCAGCAGCAGCTCATTAGCATTTAAAGCTAAAGACAGAGAATCAGCACTTTTGAAACAGGGCTGAAACAGAGGGGATTATGGGATGCTACAATGCATGATCTGTTTGGTATTTCAATCCAAACACTTCAGAGACATGTTTTGTATATAACTGAGAACTATAATATAATGTTGAAAAAGAGTATAATCGGGCACCTCTAAGTATAACAAATAATATAAAAATATGTTATTTTTTTATTTAGCTTAACACTTCATAAATCATTTATATAACAAACACAAATACATATAAAATAATGAAGAACACCGTTAAGACTATACTTCCCTTTTCTCCATTTGATAAGGAGACAAAAGTGTGTGTTTTTGTGTCTTAAGTTTAAACAGTTAATTACAATAATGTGCACATGAATATAGTCATAACCTTTCTCCTTTTGTCTCCGAGTGCAACATTTTAATAGTAGGCTGACATCAAATGTTCACACATTGCGAATGATTGGGTTAATGAGGATTAATACAGGATTCCAGACATGATTTCACTGCTTCTGCTTCAATAACTGGGAGACCCCATGTCTCCTAACAATTAATTTCCTTTTCTTTTTTTTCTATTCCATTGTTTCAGAACTTTAATTAGCTAAGTTCAGTTGGGAATAGAATAAACAGATTGTCTGTGTATTATAATTAAATTTCTATTTAATTTTAAAGCCTTCAATTCTTTTGTTTTTGGCATTTTGAGACCTGCAGATGGCCCACTATCTCTTTATTAAATGTGTGTTCATATTTCTGTGATAGGTATGTGTGTGCAACAGTCTTAACTGACAAGAAAGGCTGCTTTTCTCTCAAATCTTTTGATCTGCATCATTTTGTCGAAGAACAAAGACAATCAAAATTGTCAAAAACAAGATAAAACATTACTTGTTAGACGCTTTTATCCAAAGAGACTTACATACTCAATACTGTGGACAATGCCCACAGGAGCAATTTGGGGTGAAGTGTCTTGCCCAGGGACACAACGACATGCTGACTGCAGTGGGGTTTGAACCTGTGATCCCCTGATCCGAACACCAACGCACTAACCCACTGCGCCACACGCCTCCCTACATGATTTTAGTTCAAAATTAGCAAAACAAAAACGGCATTAGCTTTCTTTCTCAAACTTTTACATTACCTCTCAGCCTGTGGGGACACATTTGGCATGGCACCTCTCAACAAAAACAGCTTGAAACATAATACAGAACTAAAGTGTCACTTTATCCACTGAGAGGCAGCTGAAGAAAGAACAAAGTCATCCTGCTGTAGATGAAAGCCACAATGTTCACCTATTTGAAAATGGCACACATCAACCCCTGATTCGGAGCAAGTGGCGTGAACTTTTTTCTACCCATTGATATTTTCATTTTAGAGGTATGAGGTTTCTGTGAAGTCCCTGTAAATAGGTTATTTTAATTTAAATCTCTAGCTTCTCCTGATGTGCTGCTTTTTCACAGCTTCCTATATGTTTAGGGTTCATCTTGATTCCTGTAGACCAGGGGTCTCCAACCTTTCTTCATCTGAGAGCTACTTTCAAAAAATGAAAGTGGCCAAGAGCTACTTGCATCACATCGCTTACATTTATTCACATAGCCCTCATCAGTTGAATTAAGCTATACCTTTGTACACGTGTGAAATTGCAATACCTAAAGCTTATCAAAAATAAGGTCCAAGAAAACGAAGATTTCTCACATATTATTATGGCCCACATAATAAGTACATCACTGAACATTCACATAAGTGTCCTTAATCACCACCTTACAAGCATTTCACTCTTTTTTTAGTGAGATGAATGGCACTGCATGCAGTCCACCATAGAGGTGTATGCTGGACCCACTTAGGTTCACTAATAGAGTCATTTAAATGTTCATCAGTCGGTCTTGTTCTGTATTTAGATTTCATTCATGTCAGAAAAAGCTGCTTCACAAAGGTATGTAGAACAGAACCAAATAAAGCAGACATTTTCAGTGCTGCTTGGTGAATGTTCTTATAGTTTTCTGGGTCTACAAGGCTCCAGAAATGTTGTGAGTTTTGCTGAGACTTAAGCTGAACATTATTTTGGAGATCTCCACAGGATTGACACTGAACAGTTGTTCAGCCATCTTTTTCTTCTTCTTCTTCGTCTTGACATTAAATTATAAACCATAATAAATCAATTGTATAGGTCTAGCCTCCGTATATCTGTGTGTGAAAATGGTTCCATTCTCAAAAACAAAAAACTAATACTTCTGCTCTGCAGTCTAGCTGCAGCTTCTAGCTACGGTCTTCTGTTAAAAAAAAGACACTGAATGTCTTGAATGTGGCATCACACACATGACTTGAGTCTGAAAACAGCAGGAGTATTTACAATAGCATTATAAAAACAAAAATAGTGCATGTGGGTGCACACTTACATTATCTGTCTTACTGTTACATAAATCCCATGAATGTATGAGATTAAGTTAGCTTCATCATATCTCAATCAGTGATTAAGTGAATAATAAAGTTTCTATCGGGTCACTATCAGCCTGTCACTCATTATTTTCAGGGAGGGGGCGGGGTTTGGAGGAACGGAGAGGAGACGGTGATCGCGGAAGCTTTCCTCCTGCCTTCACAAACTTTACACAAGTATTTATCAACTGAAAATAGCAAGAGGACATTCATACTCTGCAATCCAAGACTTGATTAAATCCACCAAAAACCTGACATGACGATAACGAGTGTTTTTCAAAAAACACAAATCCCTCCCTGTGTGTCTCTGAGGCGCAGCGACAGGGCCTGATTCAGAGCGGGTCATTCTGCTGTTGGTTCTGGACTGGTGTTGGTGGAGAAAGCAGACTGCTCCGTGTGTGATGTCGCTGTGCTGCTGTCACGTCTGTTCCTTGATCTCTGCGTCACCGACCATTTGATATTCATGTGACAGAAAAAATTCTAAAATAAAAAAACGTTATGGTCCAGCCGCGGCCGAAAAATCAATAAGCAACCTTACTACGCTATAATCGATAATCGAGCGGCGAGCTACTGAAAAGCTGCCCGCGAGCTACCGGTAGCTCGCGATCGACGTGTTGGAGAGCCCTGCTGTAGACTATAATTTGACTGTTAAATGTTTGAATATATTGTTGTTTGGGGTAAAATAGTGAAATAGTCTACCTTGTTCATGGAGTTAAATGAACTTAATACTCAGTGTGAAGGCATATTTCCTCTGATAATCTAAAAATGATGCAAACCGCTGATAGAAAAATGTATATTTGTTTACTGAAACAATTGTGTTTACCTCTTACTGATGGCTATGTCTGGTAAAACAACTAAACACATTTTTCTGCAGCATTAGCCGAATATACCTCATTTAAATAACACAAGTTAAATGAACCATGAAATGAGGCATAATCCTTGAGTTTTTGTTGCTAAATGTTTTCATTTTGGGGGAAACAAACTCTCGGGTTCCCACTTGAAAGAGTTGTGGAGCTTCTTATATTGAGTCACAATCAACAATACAATTGTTTCAATAAAACGGAATTAGAATGAAATACTTCTTGTTAGGCCCAGAACAAACCTCTATATTGTTTAACTCCTTTACAAGGTTTCGTAACAATCGATAGAAATGGAAAGGAGAGAAGAGAGATGAAACCATAAAGAATGAGGATTGGAAGAAGTCAGAGAGAAAGAGAGAGAGAGCGATAAAGAGAGTGTAAGGGGAAGAAAAGAAGGGGGAGACTAGCATGTGAGAAAATGAGTGAGCCCTAAGACAAATTGTTCTTTCGACATAAATGGATTTCAACGTACTGCCTGTAGTGTTTTAGGTGAGTCAAATTAGAAATTAAAGAGATTCTGTCTTTGATTACACCGCCAAGCATTGATTGAATCCTCTACGCGCTGGTGGTGTGATCAGCTCCGGGCCACCACAGGTACATACATATATATGTACACACACAGCTCACCTCTGGATGACAGTAATCGACTCAAAACCTTTTCTAAAGCTTTCTATATCAAGGGACTGACTATAGAAAAGTCTGACTGACATGAACAACAGCAAAAATGGGGAAACTTTCTTCCACTGTTAAAAAATGTACTCCTATGACTTCTTTCCCCAGCACTGTATATTGTAGAGTGTGTGTTAGTCTGAGTGTGCATGTGTGTGCAAAGCTTATCCAACCAGAGATATTCCCATATTTCAGATTTCACCTAATTTAGTGCAGTTGTTGACGGATACATTTTTTCACACAACTTTTTATTGTTGCTTAATGCAGTTTTAAAGGGTCCCTATTATGCTTTTTGGGGTTCCCCTTTCCTGTTGTGTCATATAGGTTTATTTGCATGTAAATGGTCTGCAAAGGCTAACAAGTTCCCTCCATAGTGAGGTGTCTCTCCCACCACCAGCAATTTATATCTAAGAGGCATTCACAATATATTGTAACATGGTTTGAATAAAGAACTAGCAGCTCTCATCAGGGTTGAGTTTGTTCTGATTTCTTTGCATACTTTTAACAGCAACATTTGAGGATGTTGAGTCAACTTTAATGTTACAAAATGGGTGGTAGGCACAAATGACTCAAGTGTTTTGCCCCCTCACAAGTTCCACTTCGGTTGAGTGAGGAAACTGAAATATTTGTTAAACAAAGTCATGCCATCGCACCAAGAAAATATGATAAATCAAGCAAGATAATCTTCACATTTGTGGTGGAATATTATTATTTTTTGGGATCTGGTAAAATCATGACAAATTTTGAAATTCTCTTACCTGTGATGCACAGGTTAAAGGTTCACTGAATATACAATTGATTCACCATTATGATTTCCTCAATATTCATATTGGAAGGATTTGATGCTATCTTTATGAACACACCCATTTTCTTTTGTCGCAGTGTTTGTTCAGGAGGCGCTGTAAAGTCAAACACGTTCCTTGTTGGCTTTTAGTTGTCAAGATAACATTGGCTTATGGATGCGTAATCTTCTCAGCTACTAACTGACTTCCAACATCAGATCACACTCTGCATAAAAAATGTGACGCTAAGCTTTCTCCATCACTCTGCCGATTCTCTGATGCCAACACTGTTTGCAACTCCTTTCTCCACCCAAACCACTCGAAGCAGAGCATTGTTGGCCACATCTAACTGTAAAAATTGCCAATAAATATCTAATTCTTTGTTTTTAGTGGCTCCAAATGAGATGAAGCCAGCAATGTAGACTGATAGTAGTGTTAAACCTTGTTTTAAGGAGTTGATTGCAGCGATGTTTCATCACAAATCCCATTGTAAAAAAGTTATTATTGGTGATATCCTTTTATTGCATTTTCTATCACAGCGAGATATGAACAGTCATGTGAGGCGTACAAACACAGAGGCAACACATCAGGACATTATCACATAGACGTGGACGGCAGTGGACCAATCAAACCCCAGCTCATCTACTGTAACATGACAGGTAACACACAGATACACACAAATACAAACATACACACAATTTGATTCACCTAATCTCTTCATGTTTGAGCCTTTATACCATGAAAGCGCCAATGTATTTTGTATTTATGGAATTTTCTCTTCCTCTATGTGTCTCAACTGTTTTCATCTCTCCCCCAGAGGACATGGCATGGATGGTGATCCAGCACAATAACACCGAACTGACCAGAGTGCATTCGTCCCCGGAGAGAAACCAACATGTGTCACACTTTGACTATGCTTCTGAAGAGGATCAGTTAACAGCAATCACCAGCCAATCAGAGCACTGCGAGCAGGAGCTGTCCTACCACTGCAGGAAGTCCCGCCTCCTCAACACGCCAGGTAAGACTTTACTGTGCGTCCCTACTCGCATAGTATCCGAGAAACAAAATATTGCACCCAAACCAATTTGCTGACACAAAATTATTTGAGGCATAAACCAAATGGCATTTTGTAGGTTGTTTCTTAGTTGATGAGATGAGATTTTAGCAAGGACAGTGAGATATATACGTTTTCTTGGTATTGTTTGTGTTGTGTTGTTGTATTGAGTGTGTTTGAGAAATAGAAAAACGTGGAGGGGTGTTGTTAAAAGTCAACAGCGAAAAGGCACAACGTTTTGATGAAGTAAGCTTTATTATTTATAGCTTTAAGTTTCTGTCTCTGAGGGTTTTATGTTAGGGAACAAGAAAGGGTGGTGGGAATTGCTGATTTGATTTGTTTAGAAACTCATTAAAACACCAATGAAGTTTAAAATGTGCATTTTCTCCTCCTCACATTGAAGCAGTTAAAATATGTCTGCATAATGCCATTATTCCTCAACTTATTCATGAGCTGCTCTTGTTTGTTGCTTTTTTGCAATGCTTTCTTTTAAAAAAGGACAAAGAAAACACAATAGAATGTGTTGTTATGAAAGTATCGATGAGTGACAAGTCTCTGGTTCTACAGTTAGTGGGATTCATTGTCTTATCTTTGTGTCGTTTACTGTGAAATCCATCTTTGTTCCCAGAGAAAAAAAATGATATGTGATTAATGGTTTGTATTTGTGTGTGTTTCAGAGGGTGCTCCGTTCAGCTGGTGGGTGGGGGGTCCGGGTCCAGGTCAGGTCCAGACGCATTGGGGCGGGGCTCTGCCCAACAGCCGGCAGTGTGCCTGTGGCCTGCAGGACAACTGTCTGGATTCAAATCACTACTGCAACTGTGACGCTGACTACGACCAATGGTAATGCACTTTATCATGTTATTGTGTCCCTGAGTCACAATCCATTACATACAAATCCAGTAAAGCACTTTGAAATGACTGTCTATCAAATAGGGGTCATCAGGATTGGACCTATTCATTTTCAATATTAAAGGACCCATGTCATGCTTTTCCGGTTATTACCCGTCCCCTTGTGTGTTATGAAGGTTTTTATGCATGTAAACGGTGTGCAGAGTCAAAAACCCTCAAAGTACACCCTGTAGCGAGTAAAACTCTAACACAGAAAAGACCTGTCTATGCTGCCCCAAAACGCCTCTGTGACGTGTGAACACCCAAATCAACAACAAATGACCGGATTCGCCCCCATTGACTTGCATAGAGCTCCCTGAACGCTGGTAATAGACGAGTTGGGATCGCAGAGAAATGCTCTCCGCAGACCCATTCTCACAGCGTTCTAAACCTTTTTCCACACAATAAGCCATACTTATTGTTTTTACTTCGGCTGTGAGTGTTTGTGTGTGCTCAGGATGAGTTTCGCTTGTTCTCGCTGTATCGCTGACCCGGAAACCTGTCCGCTCCTCGCAGCAGCTCGCAGCGGCGAGCAGCAACGAGGGAGGGGGGCAGGAGCTCCAACAAGACGTTTAGGACAGAGAGTGAATACCTGGTGAATACACATACTATACAGAGATGCTGTATGAGAAACCAATGTGAGTTTGGAAAATTGCACAATTTAAATCTATTCTAGTAGACCTCAACAATGGAAATATGATAAGTATTGCTTGATAAGGTGTCATTATATTCTGTAAGGAAATGAATGAAGGAAACGTATAATATAAAGTATTCATGATAACAAACAAGGTTTTCTTATAAAGAAAATGTGAGGCAAAGAACAATGAAGCATGAAGCAAAGTGAGGCTCACCAAGTGTTTTCCAATATCTTTTTTGGTACATCTGAGAAAACAATTTTGCACCGAAGAAAATACTGGAGGCTTTGTTGTCTTTTTTTTCAGTTAAAAATCATGTTTAGAGTAGCTTCACAAACTCATAATGCAGATTGTATTTTGAGTGTTTGTGTAAAAACGAATATGATACTAAACTTGTTTTCTATGAAAACAATGATTTATTGAAACCAGCATAATACTTCAATTTTCTTTTGAGAACAAATATCAAACTGAAATATATTGCTTCACACTCAAGTTGTCCTGCTCTCCTGTTAGATAAGAGCCATGAGACATCAAGGATGAATCTCAAAATATTGTAACATTCCTCTATGTTTTATTCATTCCTGTATTTAAAATTATTTTATCCATGCTGTTAGCAATTCTCTATTTAGGTCACATTTCCCAATCCTGCTCTGCCGTTAGACCTGTCTTCCCATACTGTATCCAATCCTACTGTCTGCATAGCCACAGGGACCTTATATCTATTATCTGGCTGCCAACATTTGTGAAAAACGTTCTTTGCTAATTTAGTTTTAACACTTTTCCCTGCAATGAATATCTCATCACATACATCATGATGCAGCGCTGTGTGAATACAGTCTTTGTTGACACGATTTTACAGCATCAACCTGACTGCTAGAATTGAAAACACCACAGAACTGAGAAAGTGAAAGGTGGTGGTGCATGTGCAGATGAATCACTCGACCTATACGTCTGAAATGCTTTTCATCATTTCAACATACACCTCATGTCCCACCTTTTCTCGCACGGGCAAAACACAACAATATTCACAAAACTGTGTCTCAGGGCTTTTTAACATTTAACAACCTATGAATGTGTCATACCCACTTAATGTGAAGAAACTCAGCTAACTGACGATATGAACAATTTTTACCGAAACAAAACACAACTCTAACGCCGATCGTCTGAATTAGCACTAAGCGAAAGAGTGCTAACGCACTTAGCACATAACTCACGGTAGCAATATTTTATACTTCATCGGATCTGCACAAACAAGATACCATAGGAAAGCTGATATTCCACAGATTCCAATGGTATAAGTATCATCACTGTGCGACCAAAACCCGTGGCAGCGAAGGCAAGCAAAGACAACACACAACTTCACTTTACGTGGCCAAAACGGCAAATACGTCTTACCTTTTTTCTGATCAAAAGTTGTGTTCAAGGGCATTAAAACGCATAGAAACGCTGCTGAAGGTTAATCCAATGTCTCTGTGTCACTTTGAAATGATTACTGATAATCCATCATAACATTTTGTCAATAAGAGTAGTTTTCATAATAGTGTATGAGAGCTGTAACCCAGCTTCAGGTTTTGGGCATGCTGGCTGTGCATCACTCTCATTCACCAATGGTAATGTTTAGATGGATTTAGGAACTTCCCCTCGATTCTATTGGCTCTAACGGTTCAAAAGTGGTGTCAATCACCAACATCGACTGATGGATTCCAGAGATATGGCAAATCCACCCAAATGACCCCAGAAGTGTTTGTTTTTTTCTAAACCTCAATTTAACTTGTTTTGTTTTGCATCAATCTTGATACAGGGTACTGTAAAGGACTATATGTTATAGTTTGGATTCCTAAAGCTTTTAGTCTCCGATCCCTTCATTCAAGGGTGGTTTTCACTATAAGTAATGGGGTTTTTTTTGGACGGAAACTATAATTTACATTTCTTTACTATGTTCAATCTGAATTTACTTTAAAATAAAAACATCTATATTGATTCTGACTATTCTACATCCAACTCACAGGTTTATCATTACTTTGAGAAAAAAGATTATTAATTTACCCCTTTTAGAAGTGAAGATATAGTCATTTGTTCTGGGCATGTCATGTGTAGTCTGAATTCTTTAAGCATTGTCTGTCATTTTATTATGATTGATAGAGATACTTTAATGATCCCAAATTGGGAAATGATTATGTTACAGTAGCAGTAGTGCATTTAGGCATTAAAATATTAAAATAAACAGCAAACTTTTAAATATAAACATATTTGCAGTAGAAGAAAAAGACAAGAAATCATTAAACACACCGGGAGCTCCTGCAACAGGCTGCCAGCTAGCGCAGCGCCAACAGGGAATATGTCTATATTAATATATAGTATAATTATTCATATAAATTCGTATTCTTTTCAACGTCATTCTCCGACTTTTATCACTAATAACCTCCTCCGCGTCTTCTACTTCTCTGTCCCTTTCCCTTTGCTCCTCTCCGTCGTTATATTCTTTCCCCCTTCTTTTAAATGTTCTTGTTACTTCTACTTCTTGTATTTTGTCCCTTCTCCTTTTCCTTATTTTTTCTCTCCTTTCCTCTACTGCTTCCTGTATCATCTTTGGTTCTTATTTATTCTCCGCACCCTCCCCTCCGCCCTCGCTTGTTCTCATCCTTTTTTACTTCCTTCTTCTTCTTGTCCTCCTACATATTCTATTTCCTCTTATCTATCCTCTCCTCCTTTCACTCCCTTTTGTCGCCCTCCTTGTTCTTCATCCTCCTCTTACATGTCTCTTCTCCTCCTCTTCCTCCTCCTCCTCCTCCTCCTCCTCCTCCTCCTCCTCCTCATCACACAGGGCTAATGACTCGGGTCTGCTCACCCATAAGGAGACCCTCCCGGTCAGGTCTCTGGTGCTGGGTGACGTCCGGCGGCCCGGGTCAGAGGCTGCCTACAGGGTGGGACCCCTTCGTTGTCATGGAGACAGTAAGTCCTTTTCAGTTGCTGGTAATAACTTTAAATGCTGTTGAAACGTTGTCATTCTCCACACTAATTGGATAATTTGTACGTGCACATATTGAGTGTTTTTTTAATGGTCTTTTCATATATTTTGTATAATTAGATTCTGTATGCAGTAAACTAAACCAAAGGAAAACCTGGTATCCTAACATCACCCTGCCATTTAATTTCCCCAATGAAAAATAGACTGCAGCGAATTACACCATCTAATTAGCATTACAGCACCTAAAATATGACTCTCCTTATGCTCTTTAATAACAACTTCTAATGAAAAGCTATTTAATAAACTAATTTAAGTGATATACTTTTTTATCGTGTTTTAATTGCTTCTAATTTCAGATTTGAGTTTAATGAGTACATTGATGAATAAATGTATGCCATGCCAGATAAATCAACATAATGAGAAAGTGTAACTGGAGCTTTTCCTTGGTTCTCAGCTAATTAGCGGAACAGTTGGTGCATTTGTTTACTACACGATTTTCATTAAAGAGCCATCATAATGAGATTCCTCATATTAAGCTTTGATTACAGAGTGGTTTATCCACGATGCTGAAAAGGAACGTTTTTCATCCTTTTTATATTAGAACAAATGATAGCATATTGAGTATTCAAGCACTTTGTTTGTGTTTCAGAGAACTTCTGGAACGCTGCGTTTTTCGACAAGGAGACATCTTACCTTCACTTTCCCACTCTCCATGGAGAGCTGAATGCAGACATCTCCTTCCTGTTTAAAACAACATCCTCCTCTGGGGTCTTTCTGGAAAATCTGGGCATCAAGGACTTCATCCGGATCGAACTCAGCTGTAAGTGACAACTAAACAACGTTCTGCCTTTTTAATATAAAAATGTTTGGGTTTGTTGTAAAGATTTGGTAGTGGGAGACTATGAAAGAGGACGACATGAATCAAAAACATAGTCATGTTAAAGTCATTTTAAGGAGTTTTTTGGCAAAAACTATGATACATGAGAAAGTTTCTCTAACCTTCAGAATTATGTTTTTCAAAGGACAAGATGTTTTTGTGCCATTAGCAAAGTAAAACATAAAAACCATGATCTTTCCCTCAATCTTACCAATTCCAAGAAGCAGTTTTAGATGCATCTCTTAAATTATATCCTGCAGAAAAAGCTTATACTTTGGGTTCTGAATCATTAATTATTCTGCTGCGGATACAGATGTTTTGTATGTGAGTGTGTTCATTGTAAGTAGAAGAATGACTCTTGAAGGTGAAGTCTAAGAAACAAATGTTACTATATTGGTTACATTCGACAGGTGACCTGTGGAAAAGTAAAGCTTAATATCTCTACAGTACATCCTTACTCACACACACACACACGCCAACACACACAGGACAAATGGTACGCGTCCTCCTTTGGGAAACCCCAGCATTGTTACAGTAAAGCGCATCTCTTATCTCACTAAACTGCCTTTATTATGACAGCTGAAGTCGGGATGACTCTGTATCATTATTACTGCTGTTAACACGACTGCAGCTAGGCCAGGGGAAGCCTCTAAATGTAGTTATGCCTCTGGATGTTTTTATCAAATTGTTGCTGCTTTTCCTTCACTGTCAGCATCCTCCATGAGGGATGATGATGTGAGAGCCACCACTCTGCTAACTTCACCCCTAGATGTGGAGCAGAGGCACGCTGGCAGTGTAATGATGGATGAGCGTACTCCACGTGGCCTTCAGCTCACCTCTCTTTATTATAGGTTAAGTTTTTTAACCTAATAGAGCTGTGAAGATTAATGACTACAGCATGCTAACCTACATTATATTCTGGAGTCTCAGTCCCGCTGGAATGGCACACATATCTTAACAAGGAAGGGCACTGCTTTGGATTCGTTTCCACCAGATGACAACTATATATTCTCCTGACATTAAATTGCTTGCCGCTACGCAACGTACGTCTTTCTGGGCATTTATCTACAAAGTCTCTGTTAGGAAGTAAAGAACATACAACTTACAGTAAGTAGTGCACTTATGGACAATTTTGAGGTACTTTGTGAAAGAATACAAATAAAAGTTTAGGCATGACCAAAGTTATCAAAAATCTAATCTGTGCAGTAGTTGTTGAGATGTCTAAATGGAAATCTCAAATGTCAGGCTGCTGGCAGCGCTAGAGGGAAGGGCATCATATAGTCGTTATAATTTATTGATATATTTTTTGCAATTTGTCCAAGGTTTGTTAAGATATTTATAATCTAAGAACCTGTTGACTATCGGTCTGAAACAACTTAGCTTCAGACACTATTTCTGGGGTTTCAGCGTAGCCAGCAGATATTCAGGCCAAGAATGCTATTAAATGCATTTATCTGTTTAGGGATTTAGATATAGCAGTCTGGACCAAATTGGTGCACCAACCAACTGAAAGTGCCATCAGTAGAAAAGGAGCTGGACTGATGAAGGTAATAGCTTCTGATACGGTTGATGTAACGCAACTATGATTTCTGACTGGTGCCGAGACTTCAGTCACTTACACACAGAACTAACAGATGTGAGTCTGTAGCTGCAGACTTTCATTTCTGCCTTGGGCTGAACTCTGAATAATCTCAGCTCTGTGTCCGGCCGTCTGTCGATCCTGCTAGCAGATGGACAGGCGGGAAGTCACTTCACACTGAGGCCAACAAATGATGGTCGAGGAACACGGCGGTCTATTGGGTTCATTGAAAGGTGGCACAATCTGAAGCGGGGGGAAATGCTTTTGCAATGAACAAAGTGACAGGAAGTCCCAATTTTGTATCTGAATCTGCCGTGTTCTTACAGCAACTTTAATTTGGTTCAAAACCAAATTGAATTTCTTCAACAACAAAAAAAGATCCTCAAGCTTATTTTTTTAAAGTTTGGTAAGATATTTTAAACAAATAAAAATGGTTAAACTCTTGCCAACTCACCTACCTGGTTACCAACAATTAACAGTAAAGAGTCGAAATACTTCTGCTTTAGTCTCTTCCTCATTGGTTGGCTTGATTTTACACTCTTTATTTAAAACATCAGAAAAATTAGAGAAAGAAAATACTGGATCTTAAATATTGTTTGAATATCTTCAGTGTGCACATTTCTTCTTATTAAGGCAGATACTATTTACACCCGTGTGTCCATACTGTAGCTAACAATGTTATTTGCACCCGGGCTACATATTAGATACTGTTTTGGATAATATTTATGGAAATGTTTCTTTGATAACTTCCTTCCCTTGTGCTGCTGTGTCAAATTGTAATTCCCCTATGGTGGATGTATAAAGGCACAGCTTATCTTAAAGGTCCCATGTCATGCTTTTCCGGTTATTACCCGTCCCCTTGTGTGTTATGAAGGTTTGTATGCATGTAAACGGTCTGCAAAGTCACAAACCCTCAAAGTACACCCTGTAGCAAGTAAAACTCTAACACACAGAAAATACGTGTCTATGCTGCCCCAGAACGCCTCGTTGGAAATTTTCTTTTTCAATTTCTTTCTTCCGGGAACCAAGTGACGTAACGACGACCCCTCCGTGGATTGGTCCAAATGGACCAATCCGAGGAGTCGTTACGTTACGTCCGCGGACTTCCTCACACACACACACACTCAATCTTTTCTCAGCTGCAGCTCCGCCGATTTCTCCTCCCTGAGACGGCGGGACGCGGCGAGGCTGTGAGTCGGTGTGTGAGCACACACACAAACTCCCATCCAGGCTGCGGGTGTGTGTGTGTGTGTGTGTTCGGGCTGGTTTCGGGCTGGGTTTCGCTGTGTCTCGCTGTTTCGCAGACGGCCACTGGGCTCATAGGGAGGGGGGGGGCAGGAGCTCCAACAAGCCGTTTAGGACAGAGAGTGAATACACATACTGCTGTATGAGAAACCAATGTGATTTTGGAAAATTGCACAATCTAAATCTATTTTAGTATACCTCAACAATGGAATTATGATCAGTAGAAATGGCCATGACATGGGACCTTTAAGCACTGTAGCTATTTAAACCCGTGTGTTGTACTGTATGCATCTCTTCTTGCTCTTTCTACGATTGCTTGGTAAGGTTACCTGAACATCGGGGACAAAAAACACCTGTGCTATATTGTGAACATGGCTGTAAGGTAATACATGTCCCACAGACCCCCCTGATGAAAGGGGGTTAATTAATCTGCCAACAGTCGGAAAGAAGTTATGAGACGTGATGCATTTTAGTATATTTATTAAATACCACAACAGTAAACAGTGACTAAAAAATAAATTATGTAATTGTGCCCCAATCAGTCTATTTAATATGTACCCCCTGAGGCTCTTCATGTGGTCCTGCTGGACGCTGGCAGGATCTGCGTCTTTTAGCAGGGCTTCAGCATTCTGAAAGACACAATTACACATTTATTTACAATATACAAATGATTTCATGCCCCACCCTTGTGTGGCTTTAAGTTGAACCCACAAACAAACTAATAAAAAGGCACTTTTAAAATATGTGCTTTTAAAAACAGTAATTTCCATCAGCACAGGTTTTTTTGGGGTGGGTGGAAATAGCCGAATAGCTGCCGTGTGTCTATTTTCACCCAGGTGCAAATAGACACTCCGTTTTATTATTAATCACCAATGATTTAATGTTAAACAAAACTTACTTAAAATGACAAACAGTGTCAACATCATTACACACAGTCCTGTGCTGAGTTGTGTAAAGTGTGTTTCTCTCTGTGCATGATAGAGCAACGACGTGTCTGAAAAGGAGATAAGGGATTTGCAATGTCTCGCTCTTCAGAGGACACAATTATCTCAAAGTGTCAGGAAAGGTTTGTTAATCAGCTCGTCAGAATTTGGCGGGAACAAGTCAAACACACTATGCTGGTGTGACAGTCACCCAGGCATCCAAATGCTTGTGTTCAACCGTCTCACGCTTTTATGTGTTTTCTTTCTACTACTTTATCTGATCTAATGTTCCGACCACTGCCTTCCTTCTTCAGCTGCCTCAGAGGTCGTCTTCTCTTTTGACGTGGGAAACGGGCCGCTGGAAGTGCGAGTGAAGGCGAGCGTGCCGCTGAACGACAACCGGTGGCACAGCGTGCGAGCAGAGCGAAATGTGAAGGAAGCATCATTACGTTTGGACGGGTTTCCTGCCACCACACAGGAAGCTCCTGCTGACGGACACATTCATCTGCAGCTCAACAGCCAGCTATTCATAGGTGAGAGGAAAGAGTGTGAATTTGTATGTTCCCAAATGCCTTAAAAATGTTGGAGATCAAAATAAAAGAACTTAAAAGGATTGCATTTGGGTTTTAGGTGAAAAGCACAATAGGTTAATTTAAGGTCATAGTAAGGATTAAGATGAGACATTTGATAGAGAGTTGTTTATGGTGTTAGAACGTTGACCTCATTAGCAGCTGAGTGCTGGTGGTAATTGCTGTCACGTCTTATCCTTTCTTATCTCGGACTGTGGATCTAGCAACATATGCACACAGAATTTGCAATTTATGAGTGGAAGGAACTTGCTGATTAGTATTTTTGTCTCAGCAACTCGTCCTGAAGTAGGCTGCTATTCAGATAAATTAAACCTGTGGACTGTACTTTACAAAGTAAGGCTTGCTACTTCTGCCCACTTTGCTATTTGGTTTATAATAGGCAGAAGTATGGGGGAACAGTGTTGTTTTGCAGCACAGAAGTCCCACACGGGCAGCTGTTGGAGTTAAGGAAAACCAACAGCTGCTTGTTTCTAATAAAAGTAAAAAAAATCCTCCTTAGAGTCCTTTATAATCCAACTGGCCCGCGGTGAGCTGAGAGCGGTGAGACGTTTTAAAAATGCTGCTGATCCTAGCTGGGTGAGTAAAAAGCATTGGTGCTGCACTGGAAAAGGAAATGCTGAGTCCAAGCTTTCTAAACATTGAAAAATAAATATTTGATGATTGAAGTGTAGCCTCTTGTAAAGCTGCACCTGCGTGACGCCAAATTGGCAGCTGATTGGAAAATTGAAAATTGAAAGTTGCATTGAAGCATGCAAAACAATAAATGGGAAGGTAATTTCTTTTTTATTTTACCTGTGAATATTTTTCTTCTTCTGTACCCTGTTTGAGACACTCATCTCCAAGTCTATTTAATATGTAATTCTTTCCAAAAGATGTCACATGTACTATTCATTTTAAGGCTCAGCCATTTTCTAAAACAGCTGTAGATTTTTTGCAGAAAACCAGGAGAAACTAGTTCATTTGTTAGGGACTATTTACACTCTATGATTAACACAACTATAAATAAACGGCTATGTCCATTGTAAACATAAATTGTGTGCAACAGAATGGCTCACTGATGTGCTATTGGACAGCAACGAAGTCTATGCCACAAAAAGAATAGGCCGCATTAGACTTTGGAAACACGTGCCATATTTGTTAGGACCATCATGTTTAGTCTAGTTTTTAATAGGATTCTTTGATAAAAACAACATTGACCATCACTAAACATGAACATTTAATCTAAAACAATTCCAGAGAGTACCGCAATCCCTAAATACAGATTCAAAAAGTGAACTTCAGAAGTTTGAGCTCACTTGTCTTTACTTCGTCTTTTCCACAGACTTTCATAATTCCTTTTAACCTCTTGATCTTTCCTGCAAACTGTGGATGAGGACATGGAGATTTTCTTTGTTTTATGAGACCTTATATTTCTGCAAATATTATGGACATTTGTAAACACTCATTCTGAAGTGAAAATCAACCAGCAAACAGTGGTAGGATTGGAGAGATGCAGAGAGATGGATATATGCTTTGATTGGCTCTCTGTGTTAAGATAATAATCCTCTGTGAAAGAAGTGGCCGTGAGGTTGTTCTCCTTTTATGGGCAGCACTTGTCCTGGTTGGTGTTTTCAGAGGTATTAACATGTTTGAATGCAAATCCTTTGGGATTTTGAAATAGACTGCTTTCGGAGAGGGGGTTTGTGTTTGACAAATACTTGATTTGCAGATAAGCAATATGCATGTGGGTGCCTCGACTCTCTTGTTCTAGGGAGTGATCCAGAATTTATTATTGTTAATCCATTATGTGAACCGCCTCCCTTTCATGAAATCATAATTCACAACACTGCAAAGACCTCTTTATTGCGTGTGTCCCTTTTTTTATATCGAAAATTGCCTTGTGTAACTTATTAAGACAGGGTATTTGTTAGTTTGAATTAATTAGCCGTAATATTGCCTCGGGTGAATTTATGTGACACAAAGCTATTGTGGTTCAACTTAAGTTATTGCCAAAGGAAGGAATTAATTGTGTTAACACAATGTTACACACACTGAGATATAGTTCAAATAGTACTTGAATTATTAAATTATAGTATTGTCTTGGTGTCTGTGTTGGCTGATGAACACATGAGAAAACCAAAGTATTTTAACAGCTATGACAGTGATGGTATAGTTTAAAACTTTGCAGCTTCGTAAATTAGATCAATATAAAGATGGGTATGGTTTGAGCAAGCGTTGTGCTCTGCTGACATCAGCCTACTGGCATTTCTGATCATAAGCGATGAGAGCAGTGACAAATATTTGCCTGTTGTGTTGCATACATTTCTGGGCGACAAAATGTTATGTTGGTTATTTGCGATCTGACTTCAACAACGGTAACCAGCTGTTGATTTCGAGACGCCAGTGGCTGGAAATGACTCTGGAAGAAAGAAAGAGGGCAAAGGGTACCATGCATGGTACATTTTTAATAGCACAAAACAAATGAACACCATTCAGGATTTCCTGGTTTAGGTAAACACGACAGGGTTGCATACACCTCAATTCATCAATGAATTAATGCTCACTCTTCAGAGGACATTTTCACTACGTATCTAAAATCAAAACACCGATACACTCCAAACAGGTGCATGCTGAGTCTGGATCAAAGATAAAAAGGTTAAATATAAATGATCACAAGGACGTTTGCTGTGCATGCGTAATACATTTTATCTTATTGAGCCAAATAAAATGCTTAATTACATTTCCTACTCTGGTTCTCTCTTAATGAGCTGTCTGGGTTTTATAACTGTTGCTGCAGAAGGAGCCTGGAGCCTCACAGGTTAGAGATTTAGTGGGGTGAAAAGCATCTTTGACTGAACATGTGAAGCTTTCCAGACTCAAACTGTGACAGTAATACCCTGCCAAATCCTTTCTGCAGGAACAATCACAACTGTCATTTGTGGATCCAAAATAAGACGTTGAATGCTTTGAACTCCTGGAGAGATGTAATTTTGCGGTTGCTATAAGCATATTAGTTGTCAGGTGAAAGGAGGACGAGTTTCTCCTTTTGCATGTTCGTGGAAAGCATGAATGTGAGACAACAGATGGCTCATCAGCCATGCAGTTAGCCAATATAGTGCTACAGACAAGAGGCAGTGTGTTAATGTCTCAGTGCCTTGCAGAGTAGACCTTGTTGTGCTGCAGTGGCAAAATGTGCCTGTCAACCATAATACACTAAATGATGGCGTACATGCAGCACACAACATGCATCCACTGAAGCCTCTGCACCTCCCCAGATATATAAATTAGCAGAAGATTAAAACAGTCTCACACTCCACACTGATCTAAGTTTCCTCACAATAAAGCATTAAAAACTTCATATTTCAATACATTAGTCTTCATTGCCTTTTTACTCTTAGAAGTCCCACTGACCAATTGAATTACGCCATCTTGTTGGGTCCTCTTTTGCAAAGGTTTTTGAGCGGTTAGCTAAGACTGGCTGGCAGGGCTTCAGATAAGAAGAGGAATTATAGGTGGCTGAATCTGTAAGTAAAGGTGGATATAAGTTTTGTTATTGTAACCATAGATTTGTGTTGGCTTGATGATAAAAGGCACATGCATGGATACTCTTGAAAATGTGAGGATTGGGGCACGTTCAAAGCTCTAGTTTGGCTGCTTAGAGTCCGTCAAATCTGGGGCAACTCACACTGAGTGTGTGAATACTAGTGTATCATTTGAGTTTGTTTGTGTTTCAGGAGGCACTGCGTCCAGACAGAAAGGCTTTCTGGGCTGCATCCGCTCTCTGCAGCTGAACGGCGTCACTCTGGATCTGGAGGAGAGGGCAAAGATCACCCCGGGGGTCCGACCTGGATGCCCGGGCCACTGCAGCAGCTACGGCTCTCTCTGCCAGAACCAGGGTCGCTGTGAGGAGAGAGACAGCGGTTTCTCTTGCAACTGTGACCAGTCGGCGTACACTGGACCCTTCTGTCATAAAGGTACATACATTAAAAAAGACATAGACTTCCTGCCGTTAAATACAAAGATGCAAAACTGGAGCCTTGACATCAGTTTATGAATCGTTTCCTTTTGAAGCTACTAGTAATACAAACGTTCATTATAGGTATAGATAACTTAATTTCAGACCTTTAAAGGTTCACTAGATATTTTAAGATCTAGCACTCCAGACCGATCCAATTATATATGATGGACAGATTGACACACTGGATAAAAAATCTGAAATACGGCCTGATAACATCTTTCACTTTTAAAGCAATCCTGCTTCCAACTGCAAATGATTGCATTAATGTTTCTGTCCGTAGAGTTGCAATGACAATTTCATTTCCTTGCATATAAGAGGTGATAGGCATGAAGTTCATTATATGTTTGGGTCTACGAAGGACAGAGTGAGTTGTGTGCTAGGAAACTGCTTCAGAAATTAATGGGGTAAAAGAATAAAAAAGAGATTCAAAACTTTGTTTTCTTAAAGTGCATAAAGTGTTGATGCATTTGCAAGCCAATAGAGAATTATTTCACAGCCTTACATGCCACTCTTTTTATGACCCATCCCTGGTGCTTTAAAGAGGAGTAGAGAGAAAAGATTAGTGGGCTTTCTGTAGAGGATCCTTCAGTCAGCAGACATTAGACTGACCCTGACTTTCTCTCTTGATCACTGTCTGCACAGCTTCCTCTCCACGCTCGTTGTGAGTGAGACATAATGAGTCTGTTCTGTCCTGAAGGTCAAGCATGAAGATTGTCTTAAAGGACTCTTCTGGCCCACCATGCCGCTGTGATGCATCAAGGGCCTGTTGGACGGTGATGAAAGGCAACATAACTTTAACCTCAATCTGTACTGTAGAAGGGGACTATGATTTAGGAAGGTTTTTTGGAGAATACCTTTTTTTGCTTTCTTGCTGAGTGGTAGAGAGAAGATGGATACCACCTGCATGTTTATCAACCTGAACTGGAAACGGCAGCAGTGAGCCAAGGAATAGTCTGGCACACAACACTATTGTCCTTATAGGTGGATGTTGTTGAGCCAGGCTTACCTTCTTAATTAACTCCCCAAAAAAAAGTATTTAAATCACAATTAACTGAAATTCTGAGACAGCCACTTTACCGGTTAATGCGTAAAATTAAGAGAATAGATCAGAAACTGTTGGATTTTAAAATAAAAGCTTTTAAGTCCTATTGCTACAATGTTGGTGTGCTTAACGTTTTAGGTTTAAAGGAAGCAGGCTTCTAGAAAATACGGTTGAAATAAACAATATTTCAACTGTAAATACATTTGATTATTTTTCACGAAAATGTAACATATACAACTTGTTGTTTTTTTCTCCAGTTTGACCTTTAATCAAGCAGACTGTCCTATTACAGATGCAATGCAGACTTGGGCAGCAAAGAAGAAGTCAGAAAGCCATAGGTTCATTGGTCAACTTTCTACATTTCAGAGGTATCGGCCAGCTTTCAGTCGTCAACATCCATCACGTACAACCTGAAGGAGCCCCATGAGCTGAATAGGAACAGCAGTGCCTGGCCTTCCTCCATCTACTCTGATGTGACGCTGAGAGGAGAAAACATCTCCCTGAGCTTCAGGACGACTCAGAGTCCTGCTCTTCTGCTCTACGTCAACTCTGTCTATAAAGAGTACCTGGCACTGCTCATCAACAATCATGGTGAGACAATTACCTCTTTTTCCTTCTTTCCTTTTGGTTTGACCCAATTTTATCCTTCCTGCATTGGCTGGAGTTAAACGTTCCTGTCTTTTCCGTTTCTTTCTCCCCCTGCATTCAGTTTTTTATACACTGCTGCTTCCTTTTCCATGCAGCATAGGTGATTTGTTATGTACAGTGTCAGGTTAAAAGGAATCATTTTGGTGCACTTACTATTCAATTATAACTCTGCCTTTAGCAGGGTCCCCCTTCAATTGTTCTTCCTTTTGCAATTATTTATTGTGTTCAAATCAAATCAAGTTTTATTTATAAAGCACATTTAAAAGCGATTTTTGGTCGAGCCAAAGTGCTGTACATGTAATAAAAACACATTACTACAAAGACAATAAATTACAACAGATATATATATAAAAAACACAGGGAAAAGTCAGGAGTCGTGCTCCGCTCTAACTAGAAGGCCAGAGAGAAGAAGTGTGTTTTTAGTGTAGATTTAAAAACCCCTAGGGTCTGGGCCGACCTCACATGGAGGGGCAGAGTGTTCCAGAGCCTAGGGCCAGCTGCTGCGAAGGCTCGGTGCCCTCGGGTTTTGAGCCTGGTCTTGAGGACTACCAGCAGCAGCTGGTCAGCCGACCTTAAGGCTCTGGATGGGGTGTAGCGCTGGAGGAGTTCAGCTATATAGGCCGGAGCCAGCCCATTTAGTGCTTTAAAAACAAATAAAATTATTTTTTATTTGCTCACTCACTTTTTATTTGTTCCTCACTCACTTTACTGTAGAGCTCCAGTTGGCAGGAAGCAATGCTAAATGCGGGGTATTATAGGATTTGCCATTATCCGGTGTATTCAACTTGTAAGTATGGCTTAAATAAGAGTCATTTTTTTCTAGCTTGAAGTTAGGTTCAGGTGCTGGAGATTTTTTTTGTAATAATGGACACAAACCATTGTCTACCAAACAGAAACCTTTGTTGAACATATAAGGTGGCATCTGTTCAAATATTAGGTTATGTTCTTTAAATATTGGTGTAAATTCTGCTGTTTAAAAAGGCATCTTTGAGGTTTAAGATACAAACAATAAAGCAGGTTTTAAGTGTTGATCATGTCGTCATCAGGCATATGCACACTTGACAAAGTATCTAATTAAATCCCAGAGAGAATTTTCTTTTGGATGCGCCACAAAGACTTTTCTCATGCTTCTTATATAGCTGCTGCAGTAAAAGGAGCCTGAGCCGCTGCACACAAAGACATCGTTTTACTATCCATGTGACTCGCTTGGAGCCTGAAGCACGCTTTGCCCTTTGCTAGATTGTTTTTATTATCAAGATTTGCTCTTATGATAGGGGATTTGCTCTCTATTAGTCTGTGACAAGAAGTAACAAAGTCAGTCATAATTAGGAAAAGTAAAATCTTAAAGAAAATAATTGAATTTCTGCTCATCTGTAATTTATGCATTCACATTATATCAGTGGTGTGGAATTTATTAAGTGTAAGACTATAAAAAAGGGGGACATTTCATTTAATATCATGGAGTCTTATTCATAGAGATACAATCCTCAAAGTATGTAATGGTTTTTATCTTCTTAATTCAGCAGCTGGTATGCTGAAAAGAAAGCTGTATTTGAAGGAGTGAATGCATGTCTTCTAAGCCAAGAATAAGGACATTTTGGAGGCTTAAAGGTGGGGTAGGTAATTTTGGAGAAACCAACTCGAGTGCGCTAAAATTTGAAAATACACAGCCGGAAAAAATCTGCCACTTCCTTACAGAGCCCCTCCAACACACACGAACGCGCACATGACCCATGAGGGAACGAGATAAGCTTGTGCACAGATGGAAGGCTGACAGGCAGGTAGGCCATCCAGTTATTTTAGCCGGGCCGGCTAAAATGATTGGTCGTACTTTTTACAGTATTACGGCTTCCATAGATGATATTTTTTTATGGATTTTTTGTCAAAGCACTTAAGATATTCATTGCTATCGGGATGTTAAGAGCATTCCATGGAATATAACAAAAAGTGTATCTCGAGCCGGTTTCTCAAACGTACTTACCCCACCTTTAAGTGCTTATTAATTATCAAAGAGTTACAACGTGTACAGTAGCAACATTGTTTAACACTTGTAAAATATAATTAATAGAACATGCTCTTCAAGAACGCAATATATGTTTTAATAAAAAGGTAACTTAAATAAAAATGAAAACACTTTAATGCTTGTACAGTATTATCTTTGATGCTGAATCTGCTTGCCTTAAAGAGTAAGATTGCATTGTGGTGCTGTGTTTTCAAAGATGAGTTGGAAGTGTGGTACAAGTTACACAGCGGCCGAGACGTGGAGGTGCTGAGGAGCAGAGTCACGGACCTGGCTGATGGACGTCTGCACACGGTGATCATCAGGAGACAGGCAGACATCGTCTCTGTGAAGGTACACACACTTACTGCAACAAATATTAACACTGTGACACACCGATGAATTTCAAACACAATATTTAAAATATGTCACACTGATATCCACATTGTGTATTACTATGTTAAATGAGCCCACTGCACTAAGCACCTGACGAGTGCATAGGAACACTAACTGGAGCTGACGCTGGTTGTTATATTATTATTTTAAATGCTTGTTTTGAGACACTGTGCTGCATTTTGCCACTGCAGATTAATTAAGTCGTTCAGTTTATTTGTGTGCAATGCAGTCGTATCAAAATATGACCCAACTGGGATAATACTCATTAACAGGAATTGTTGGGCATACATGTAGGTGCATCCTAAACTAAAGTCATAATCGGACATAAAAAACTAAAGTAAGGATGTAGTAACAAATATTGGCTATGCATTCACATTTATGCTCACTCTATGACAACAATCATAATTTCAAATCTTCAGCTGTGCTCTGTAAACACAGCATGTAAATGACCATCAGTTCACAAAACACACAAACCAGGAGCCAGCTTTTTTTTATTATCAGAGGAAAAAATTATAATTAAATTCAAAATACCCTCAGCAGTGCCAGTGGGTCCCAAAATCACCAACATGTCCACAACAAAGCGGTCTACAAATGGTAATTTTCCTCTTTGTTTTCAAGCTTCTTTCAATTGTATTCTTTTTTGTGGCTCCACTTCAACATTAGCAGATGTCTTATTGATAGATGATTCACTCAATCTCTTTGTTTGCAAGCAATACATCACAAGCTCTTTTATTAAAAGACTGTCTCTCTCTGAGGCATTCATCACCTCACAACCTGCTCCACTTCTCTGCTCTGCTACTGTGAACCCCTGCATCTCATGGGGCCATTGGTGTCCAGCTTTTTGGGTTAAATCTTATTTCAATATTCAGGTCAGACCAGAGGTTCAGTCTCCAGCTAGCTTTTCATCATTCATGTTATTTAAACTCTTTAAACACAAAAGAAAGGCCTGGTAGATTTCAGCATCCTGGGTTTAATTCCTGGGCCTTTTTGCTGCTTGTGATCCTCTGTTAGACTTGCCTTGTCTCTCTCCAAGCTATAACTATAAGCCTGAAAAATATAATTTAAATAAATGCTAAATAAATATATCTGTCTTTGACAGTTTTTAGCTATTTTCTCTTTGCTTTCTATCTTCAAAGCTTTTACCTTTTAAACATGTGACACACATGTACATTATCTTTCAGGTCGATCAGAATACCAGAGAGGATTTCAACTTGACATCTGATGTGGAATTCAACAGCGTCAAATCACTCATTCTTGGCAAAGTGCAGGGTAAGTGAGGCTCCAGCACTTATACAGACTCATTTGAATAACAGCACTGACGTCTTTGGACGTTTGGACCTATGCGACAAAATGCTGCTGTTTTCTATTCATCATGTTGGGTACAGGGGAAAGTAGCCGTCTGAACAGCAGCTGTGGTGCTTTTAAAAACGAGTTGACATCCATATTCAAATGTTCACGAAGAGAGCACTTTACAGTGGAGATAAAACATAAAAACCTTGGAAATATCTTAAGGTGGAGCCACCCACTTAAGTCATTGTTATGTGGCATTAGAAGCATTTTACTGGTAGGTAATGAGCATTGTTCTCTCACTAATGCAGAACAATAGTACACGTTTGTGAACTTTTATCTGTGTTTCTGAAGCTTTGAGTAATACAGTCTTTGTGTCTCTCTAGCTGAGCCGGGCTTCAGACAGCTTTAATGGAAATAACTTTAGAAAAGGTCCTTCACTTTGTATGGTAATGAGGAGAGATTGAAAAGAACAAATTACTTTGAAGATTGGAGTCAGCACCCTGTGATACAGCATAACAACCAATAAGTCTCGGCTGCCGTGGAATGGGTCAGACCAAACCAGGAAGTCAGACAGTACAGTTCAGTCAGACAGAACATTTTAATTTCACATCACTCCTGTCATCCTCTAGGACGGATCCGCCTGCCCCACAACTCTCTTAAAGGGGAAACTTTGTACCAGAGTTGTGATGCCTTTTGGTTATCTCTGCATTGGCATAGCTCTATATTAGACAAACACATACTACAGACAGTCAGGGCTGAGTATAGGGCTGTGTATCAAAAAAGGTTCTGAATTAATAACTATTTTAAATTAACATTATTAAATCTAATTAATTTAAAGGGGACCTATCATGCAAAATGCACTTTTTTATGTCTTTTATACATAAATATGTGTCCCCGGTGTGTCAGGGAACTCACGCAGCGTCAGAAAATAAAACCTTCTCTCCTTTCCTCCGTACCCAAATCTCTAAAAACGGGGGTACAACGGAGCTGATCCAGATTTGCGTCCGAGTAATATCGGAAATGTGGACCCACGGCACTATCAGAAAGTTGCTATCAGAAACAATGCCCGACTGTTTTGGACGTAATATGGTCGGTGTTTACATTAGCATCGCTAACACTCAGAGCTAACCTGTACTGGAGAGCATGTGTGTGAAGAAGCAGGAAATAAAAAGGAACTCACCTTGTGGTATAACCGGCAAGAGAGAAAGCCTTTGAGCTCCATACTGTTTCAGAAATAATCCTTGATAATCCATGATATGGCGTTTCATCACCGCAGAATTTAGTTTAGACAGTAGCTGCCGGGTCCCGCATGAGCTCAGCCCCCTCCTTTTTTTTATTTTGTATCAATCTTCTTCTTTTTTTAAAGCTTTATACCCAAAATCAGCACTTTTGAAACAGGAAGTGAAATAGAGGGATATGAGGCATGGCTAGAATGGGTGATCTGTTTGGTATTTTGAGCAAAACACTTCATAGACATGTTTTCTATATATTTGTATATATCTGAGACCTATGCTATTGCCTAAAAATAGCATGATACCTTTAAGGTATAACAGCTGGGGATTTGTATACAATTCAAATGGCTTTGTGAGATGTAAGTTCCTGAAAAAAGCCTTTCTTCAACGTCCTTTACGTTGTGTTCACTCCGCAAGAAATGTGTGAAGAAAACAGAATAAGCCCAAACTGATTAACCCCTGTTCTTATGGTTTCCATCATGACCCCAACCCATACATTTTACATTTCTTAGGAGATTTACTTTGGCGGTACCGTAACCCTTAACATACAACAATGAATCCTGCCTATCTCGTATAATTGGCTGACATGAGCTCTTAAATAACGCTTACAACTTAACAACTGTTCAAAGTGGAAGTACAGTTTCCTACAAAACCAAACTGGACTGGTTGTTTAAAGCACATGCCACATAAATGTATCATCACTGGTTCAATTCCAGCCAGGACCATTTGATGCATTTCAAACTACTTCGTACATCCCACTATCAATCAATTGTATAATAAAGTTGTAATACCAAAAACAACGTCGTTGGCTGCCTCCAAGTGTTTCTTCAGCTAACACCAATAAGTTATTAAAAGTGATTCAATCATTAGATAGTATAAAGCTATATAGGATTTAAAGATCTGCCATCTTGTAACCTATCCAGTCATGCATTCATCCATTTTCTAATCCACTTATCATGTCAAAGGGTCCTTGGTGATAGGCAGGAGACAGGCTGGACAGGTTGCCAATCACATATCCAACTGGCTGTGAATAGATGTTAGATTTGACTTAAGATAAGAGAGGTTTCAGCTTACAACATACACGTTTTTGTTTTATTGTATTTCTCAAATAACCTAAGAAATTGAAACCAAGAATGAGCTAAATTAATATGTTATCAGAAGAAGTAGAATATATAGAAATCTAATGAATATCCAACTCAAGTTTTGGAGGATGAACTTCAATACTACATATTTCATATAATTTAATTAACAAAACCAGAGTTTTTGGATGTGTAAATAGGTACATCATTTGTTTATATATAATTTGTAAGTCAATAATATTTTTGTTTATCAATTTGATACTGCTTAAGTTTGTACAGCATCATAATTCTCATGTTTCATTTCATTATTATTATATATTTTTTGTATTATTGTTTTACACGGTCGAAATAAATCAAATCAAATCAAGAGTGATCACTTTGACATGTTTCTGCTCTTCTCTAACAACCGTAAGTTGCCCATGTTAGAAACAACAAATTGATGCTGGTGCTGTTTTTATGTTGAGCTCCTTAAATATGTTCCGTTGTTGACCCGGGCCGTGTCAGTGTGCGACCCAGCCTTGTCTCGCTGAGCCAGAGGACGCCGGCACTCATATCAGTATCAGAGAGGCAGCAAGATAGTTGATACACTGTCACTCCCTGCCAGTGCTGTCATCCATCAGCCTGACTAATGGAGCAGGGAGGAATGGATAGACTGAGCTGCTCACAGAGAAAGAGAGAGAGAGGGAGACTTGGGGGGGGGGGGTGAAGAGAGTGGAAGGGAGAGATGGTGATAGGTGGAGGTACAGGGCAGAAGCCGGGCGGAGGTGGACAGAAATCATCAGTTTGGTGGATACAAGGCCAAGGCTGTCAGTGTGGGATTTGAGTGCTCGCACAAACATCCAAATCCTTCTCAGTGAAGGCACAGACTCTGTTCAGCTTTAACCTAATATCAACAGTGTATCTGTATTTTTGTAAAACTCTTTGTCTGAGGAGGAACTCTATATGTTACCTTTTAGTTTTAACAATGTTCTTGGATATTCTTTTATCAGATGACATGTTTGATCAATGAACAGAGCTACTTTAACATTTAACCAGGGCTGGGAGTTGTGTTAAAATGATTCACAATCTGGCCAGTGATTGGAGATCTGTTGGCTTTGGTTTGTATTTGTGTTTGCAGCTGTGAAAGGAGTGTTCGAGTGGCTGAGCGTAGTGAAACACAATTCATGAAAACTTGACAAAAACAGAATAAAACTCGCAAAAAACGTTATGGTTAATGGTTATTGTTTAAAAAACGTAAAGCACCTACACTGTCTTATAAAGAAACTGCCCTGTCTGCATGTGCTTAAATGTATAAGGCTAAGAAGGGTTAAAGGTAGAGACAGGAGAGTGTGTCTTTCTTAACAATGGAGAGAAAATATAGAATGCCATCCGAGACAATCGAATGCTACTGCTCTTACTTAAATCAGTTGTGTTATTACCTTGTTCTCAGATAAAGGTGTTGCCCTTCATCTTGCAGGCTGCTCAATAGATATACACATGTCATGAGCGTTATAATTAAAAGTAAAATAATTTCCTGATGCTCAGAGGATCACATTTAATTTAAAACTTAATCAAAGCCGTATCAAACATACAGCTGATAAACAGCCGTCTCCAGCCAGGCCGCTCTGCAGTGTCCCGTTCATGTGGTGAAGAGTTGCTTCACGATGGTAATAACTTTGATTGGTGACAATGATGTGCTGGGTAATCAAATTGCACTGCAGGAATAATTGAGGGTCACACTGACATTTATAGCTACTGAAGAAGTTATGTAGCACCTGCTGTCACAAATAATGATGTTGTAAACAGGTAAGCGCCAAGTGAGATGCTGGTGCAGTTTCTTAAGTCTGTGTATTTTCATTTGCGTTTATTTTTACTAGTTTTGTTCTGATAACAAAGAGGCTATATGGTCAGTGTCTTCATCACACAAGCTAAACTTCACATGTTCCATCATCTGGTAAACATAACAAAAACGTTGATCTGCAGTATATCCAGTATTTAAATGAAAACTAATGTCCAAATGTTTATTGAACTTTGCTGAGGACCTGTGTGCTCCTTCACAGTCAAAACATAGCATGTCCGCCCAGATAAAATGTTCCTATTTGGCAAACTCATTGCCAGTTATAAGTGCAGATGAGATGCAGGCCTGGTACTGTTGAATACAGAAAATAGCGTGTTTTATTTTTGCATACATTTCAGTGTCAAGCTTCAACGTTCCTTTTTAGTATTTACACACCAGCATTTAAGGGAATGATGTGTTTGCGTTGTCCCATAGGTATGTTTCATTTTTGGGAGCTCAATATCGCCGAGGCAGTGATAATGAACTGTCTTCAACCTCTACATACAACGTGCATGAATTGTATATGAATATATTTTGTCCAAAATATAGCTTTTTACATTCAAAAACATATATATATTTATTTAGTAGTCTTTTTGTTCAGTATCCTCCACTATCAGTGTTACATTCAGGAAATCATATCTAGTAGCTCCAAAATGAACAGCAATATGATTAGATTAGATACAATTCATCATCCCAACCGTGGCGACATCAAGATAAATCACTGCTGTATTTCAAATGTGTAATTGGAACTTGCTGATAACAAATGTGTCTTCTCTCCTCTCTGTGTTCCTCTCTCTGTGTTCAGAGTCTGGTGAGATGGATGAAGAGCTGGCCGGCTTGGCCTCTCTCGGGTTCAGCGGCTGTCTGTCAGGTGTTTTCTTTAACTCCATCAGTCCTCTGAAAGCCGCCCTGCTGCACCCTGACAGCCCTGTTGTTGTCAGCGGCCCACTGGCCCAGTCCAGCTGCGCCTCCTCTCCAGCCAATCCTTACGCGGCAGAAACCACACATTCCTTATCAGGTACAAGGAGACGACTCAGCTATTATGTCCTATACTATACGTAATATATATCTTTAGGTAGACACCCCACCCATCTCCCTAGAGTTAAATAGTATTCTTAGGGCTGCTCATTAGACTTTTATGGGCTCATTAACCATCCTCCTCCGTTAGCAGACAGACTGAGTGATGGCACTATGTCAGATGAGATCATTCAGACAGCTGTAGTGAAGTATTTTAAAGTTGTTCTGAGGCTTTAACAAGCAGTGACGGCACTGACTGATGAATATCTATCCCCACACACTCCTTTAACACGCCTTTCCTTCTTTTTATTTTGTTTCACGTTTCTTTTCGTTTGTTTTTTAAACTTGGTGATCTTTGTCTACATTCTTTCTTCTCTGTAGGCTTTTTAACTCACCTTTTCTGGACTCCTTTCTTTCTTTCAGACCAGCCAAATTCAGTGGATCCAGGTCAGCATTTAGTCAATGCCATCAGGAGTGACTCAGCTCTAATCGGAGGTAATGTATTCTTCTGGACTAAAAGTTACGGTTAGCTAAAAACTTTATATTTGGAGAGTCTCACATTGTAAAGAGGAATGGGAAGGATAGAAGTGTTTAAAAAGGATGCGAGGGAGGAGGGAATAATGATCTAGGTAGCAGAGAAGAAAGAAGCAACATTGAGGAGAAATAATGCGTTGGCTGTTTTAATGAGAATATTTTGGGTCTGAATTCACATGGCGCATGAAAACTTTGCTGACAAAAAGGTATTAGACTCGCACCGAACCACTTTGATGCAGCGCTCAAATAAGTCAAGCAGTATTTCATGTCATAACTTCCGTTTGCTTTACGAATAAACCGAAAGCTTGAGTAACATCAATTTGAGGTTGTTTATGCTCAAATCAAAACTTAGGAAAACTTTTACAGAATAGAGATACAAACCGATCTTCTGGGAGATGAAAATCACAGACAAAGTAGCGTGTGTCGCACCTGCTGTCTTCCTGCTGTCTTCAGAGCAGGTGCACCATTTCTGCTGTGCTATTTTAGATTTAGATCGTATTACAGGAGTGTATAGAGGGACAAAACCAACATTGCCCCAAAACAATGCACTTTCAGTTATTACTGGATTTATTATTTAACACATAATAAAGGATGGGAATGGTCTGAGATACACAGGGTCTGATCTGTAAAATGTTTTGACAAGCAACGATTTAGGTTACCTTGTGAGTTTAAAAGTAGATGTTTTTGTATTGTGCTAACAATAACATCAAGCACATATGAATCTTGACTAATTGGATTTCTTGCCCATATAATGTTAAATGGATAATTCAACTTGAATTGTGTCAAACGATTGACTGTGTATCACGTCACCCTTGTGCTTTTGCCTGAGACAATAAACAAGGGAACATTTTTTGAAACAGATATGAGAATGTTATAAATCTTGTCATCTATATCTGTGGAAGAAAATAAGCAGGTTGTCCAAAATTAACAACTCCTTGAAGAAATTGGTTTTGCTAAAATATTAAAAGCAACCTGGTATTCTGAATTAAAAGTATTTTTGATTTTTTTAGGGGTGATCGGCATGATGATTTTCGTCAGCGTGGTCGCATTGGCGATAATAGCCAGAATCATCTGCAGCAGGAAGGAGACGTATAGAAACCAGGAAGTGAAAGCAGCGCAGCCGGAAGAGGGCCAGGAGCTCCCCTTCAGCAGCCAGGTGGACTCTCAGAGCGCTCCCACTGAAAACCAAAAGGAGTATTTTATTTAGCAGGACCCCCAGCATCACACTGAGCTGTCAGGACAGAGCGGGAACATTCACCAACAGCTCAGAGCTTTATCAGACATTCAGCCCGGAGCTACTGGTGGACCCATCAGATGTGAAGTCAAGAAACATTTTATGATTTTCTTACAGTAAGTTCTTATCTGCTGTCATTCTGAGTGTAAATATTTATAAATGTAAATGGTAATTTGTGTGCTTATAACAATGTTGTTTGCCATATTGTAAAAAAACGTTATTAAAAAGAAAACATGCAGAATTTATGTGTTGATCGAAACACGATTGTTCCAGTAACATTCTGAACTTGGTGTTCATTTTTCAAAAGCACTTTTTCTACGAGGATGATAAACCTTGCTTGAAATTTCAGATGTCAGAGCCATACAGTGTATGTGTGAAAATATGGGAAGAGTAATAGTCAACATAATTCAAACCACTGCTGTATATACAAGTCTGAATACTCATATTCCACATTTTGCCTTTGAGTTCGTCGGAAGGTTTCTTATGGCGCGTTTCCACTACAGCGCGGAGCACGGTTTAAGAGGGCTGTGACGTCAGCGGCCCGTCTTTGGTTGCGTTTCCACTTGGCCTAGTACCGGCCGGCGGGTCCTAATTCACAGTTTTTCTGGCCTCATAAAATCGTGGGTCTAGGGCCAGAGACAACGAGGCTGAGTCGGGCTGAGTATGCTAAACTAGAGAGAGAATCGCTGGCAAGGGGGCTACAACTTCAACAAGATGGACATATTTGACCGTGATTTAATTGTAATACACGTTTCTATATGATGCCGAAGTAACAACATACTGATACCGGTTAGTAAAAACCATGAATTAATGCTTTGACAAGTCTGCAGACAGACGGCAGGCGAAAAACCTTTTAAAATGCGTGTTTTCTAAATGATTTCAATGAGATTGGCTAAGCTAACGCAGTATGCTCCGACCGTCCACACTCACAACAACGGCCTATACAGACATAAATAAAGCAGCGACTGTATTCGCCATGACACAGGCAGTCTGTGATTTGTACTTGTTTAACTTTTGTCTAGTTTCTGAACATATATGAGGAGCTGTGAGCTCTGAGTGCTAACAGCTAACGGCTGTGTTGTTTTTCTGGGGTTCTCATTGAAGATGACGTCACGGCTCCGCCTACACTGCGTTACTATAGATACTACCCCAGTTCCTAAACTGTAATGGAAATGCGCCATAAAGTGAGCCAGTCCTAACGAGGCCTAGCCATACCGAGCGAGGCCGAGCGAGGCCGTGTAGTGGAAATGCGCCATAAGTTACTCGTCGTGCTTTTTCTTTATATCTTGAAAAACCAAATAAAATCTTGACGAAATGAAGGGATTTTTTTTTTTACTTTTACTGACTGCACCAAAAATCTTTAAAACTAAGACTTAAAGCTCAGAATGTCTGTCACTTTGTTCAATCTGCTAAAACCCTAATTGGAAATGGAAATGAGAGAAGTTGACAATGAGATAAATAAATAAATGAAAACCAGCATCAAATATAAATATTGGATATATATATACTTCTCTGACGCTGAGATACTTTAAATCATTGGTTGTTTTTTCTTTTTTTGCAACATTGAAAATGCGGTTCCCCCTTTCTAGAAGGTTTTCATCCTCCAAGATTTTTACCTCATTACTGCTGAGTTAAGGATCTATTTGTTCTGTATGTGTCTCTCTCAAATAGTGCTGTCTTCAATATGTTACCCTGATTTTGAATAAGAACAAATGTCTCTTTTGATACTCTTGTTTTCAATAATCCCACACAATAATGATACACGGTTCATGAAAGCAATAACATTTGCTATTCTGAACACCTGCTGTTTGGGAAGTCTCTGAAATTGATGCAATTTAAACTTCCCAGATAGTTAGCGGGAGACATGATTGCCTACGTGTATCAACAATGAAAGTAACACAACAAAGCTAAACTAAAATATTTTTAGGAGCAATGACTGATGAGCACCGAAGATGTCAGCGGGAATTAAATTAAGGATTGTGTTAACGACCAATATTATAAAGTGTGCTTGACATACAGGCGCAAGACATTTCTCTCTCTATAAGTGCTAAGACAAAGCTGTGCTATTGTCTCAGCCTTTATCCAAGATGCCATGTGCTAATGAATTGAAATATACCATATCAGATTTCAGCGGAGCCCAGAAAGCCTCCTGAACGAGTAAAAATGAATTGCCTTTGAGACAAAATAGTTGTATTTGACAGACTATTTATACCTGACATTCACATGATATGTATATCCTATCCTGTCATATCTGTGAATCTACAGTCATGAAGTTTGCTCTTCAAGCTTTATGCCACCATGTAAAATATGTTTCTCATTTGAAAAATGTTTAGGTTAGAAATACTTATAAATTACATTTTTTTTTTACAACTGTTTCATTGAATGAGAGTTACAGCAATTACATTCAAATCAAATCTATTCACCCGTTAATTGATCTTTGTGTTGCTTTTATACAGTATCTGTTCCTCACATGAAATTGTCCCAAAAAAATCTATGTTATCAAAATGTAAAATCAGAGTATGGTTTGTACAAATGTATCACAAGTCTCATTTAATGATATATATGTCACTGTAACTTTCTGCCTTCCGTTGATTTTCTCACAGTTTAAATGTTTCAGTTATAAGTAAACTATGGCTGCCACTCCCAGGCTTTTATCACACCTTTAATACAAAAGACTGGCAACCTTCTGTTCGGACCATTGTCAGGTAAATTGTCATACGGTTATACTTAACATGTCAAAGGCTTAACCCCCCGTCTAGCCACCAATCTTCAATACTCTGTAATGTAATCACTATGTATGTAGATTGGCTGAGACCTTCCTCTTCCTGTGTCTCTACCCTGTATAAAGTCATTGCTTTTCTGTATAACTTGTTCAGATCTTGGTACTATTTGCCAGTGCAGGACTCAGCCTCTTCCAGCTGGAAATAAGATTGATTCTGTTAAATGCTATAACTCTTTATTAAATAACACAACTTTGGTTTAAGCTTGTAGATTTGTTCTTTTCTTACAAGGTGGTGATTAAGTGTGGAATTTCCATGTGACATATCTGACTCAGCTTGGTAACAGTCGTTAAGACCACAAACTATTTCCTCAAATCACAGAATAATGGCCCAGTGTGAATGTAATCACAGCCTGGTAGTATGCCAGCCAGGAACAAGACATGGGCATTTTCTGAGTCCTGCTCCATTTTTTTGGCTGGCAGTGATTAGTTTGTGCTGAGCCAGCAGAAAAGAAACTGCTGTAACAAAAATAATGTAACAATGCTGTATTTGTGAATGATTCTAATTTGTGTGACTTTGAGTGAAAACAATCTGGTTACAATGGTTCAGTTTTACCGGAAAACTCCTCCATGATAATAAAAATGGCTTTTTTTTTTTAAATACTGGGAGGTGTTTGATTTTACTCGTCTGGATCTTAAAAAACATGACATAAACATTTGCTATAAACTCATGATGGGCAGGTGGTGCAATCTTAATAGTATTGCAAAAAGGCAGCATTGATTTACTATACAATTGTTATTGCAAAGGACTTATTGGGCATATTTAATAACAAAATCCCCCAAAATGAGTTGTCTAGAGACCAACATTTTACGAGAATTATCATTAGTATCATCAATATGTTTTTACTTTCTTTCTTGGTTTTCTGTTGCTTTTTTCACTAATCTGAGATCATTTGTCTCATAGAAGCAGCTGAATCATGTTATCATTTCCTCTTAGTTACTTGTCATTTTAGATTCTGCCTCTACCTCCTGACCCTCACTATGCCTTTATCCAGCCATTACTCTGATTTCCCCTACTCACCTGTTCCCATTCCCCTCATCAGCTATGCAGTATAAATGTGCATCGGGGTAAAGGATAGTACATTTCCTCCTGGTTCCAACTGAGGGAAATAGATGATAACTGCAGTGCAAACCCTCCTTTTAACTGGCATAACAGCTACTTAACCTACTCCCACTCCATCTCTGAGTCTTTGATCCGATTTAAGTGATGTGCAGCCTTTTATCTGCTTTACTCTGCTTGTGAAAGCAATAATGAGTGACAGGGCTGCTGTTAACAATTGTCATTACCAGTCGGAAGTACTGGTTTTGCTTCTAAAATCAAAATGTTGCAATTATAACTAACTACTTTAACTACAACAAATATGTATTAGTACATTTTGACCTGACTTTATGTTGGACATCCGCAATCTTTGGAGTGCCTTGATGTAAACCTGTTATAGTGGCAAAACTCTACAGTAGCAGAATTTGCGTTGGGAAAACAGTTTTTAGAGGCGGCTGTTGTCTTTTGTTTTCCTGTTAAATGAAGCCGAAACACAGCAAACTTTTCCCTTCTAGAGTAAATTAAATCTACATAAATGTACATCACAGATTGTTGTTCTCCCTAAACTTTTCAGGATAGGCTTCTCTTTATGCACTGCATGACATTATTGATGAGTATCAATATGCTTCTGTCTGCAGAGTAGAGATAAAGACGGCTGACTAAATGGCGGAAATATCTGTTTTCTTTTTTATGATGACATTCTCTCCTAACTCTTAATTAGGTAAATGACTTAAAGTTTTGTCAGAGTTCAAAATTGTCTTTTTTGAAACAACTGAACTCACTTTTAGTAGGGCATAACAACCAAACAGAGCCAGACATAATCAAGTCGTCAGATGTAGTCAGAAGACACTCGATGTCCCATTCAATGTGAATTATTTACAGTTCCTAAATGGAAATACAATTCCTATGTGAGAAATGGGAGTAAAAACATTTCCTTCTGGTGGCATGGTACATTTGCAAATTCTGTGAGCTTTCTTCTCAAATATTTATTGCGATGGTCACTAGCTCATGTAGCGTCACCATGCAGAGACCTAAGTCAGGTTATGGGGGAAAGAGTTTTTCAGAAGAGCTTGAGAATCTTGATTGTTGACACTATAGGAAGCACTACTCTGACCAAATGTTTATATTTTACAGAAAGCTATGATATAATAGACAAACCTTAAAACAAAGATACAGTACAGGGTTGAATACTGATGACAAACTTGCTATTGCTCAGAGGAAAGAAGAACATTTTGTCCTTTTCAGTTTCTTTGTTATAACAGTCCTTTCTTTGTTGAGCCTAATTCTGAATCAACATGTTGCAGTTACTTTTATCCATGTTTTAGTATGTGTTTTTGGTCAACAATATCACTGGAATAGCAGAGAGAAGCACTGGCTTGAGGCAGATTTGAAGGAAGGCAATTACAGGCGCTGCACCCTCACACAGGTGTTTCACTTGTTCTGA